TATACAGATATGTTTATAGAGAAAGGAGTGAAATATTTAGATGTTTTATAACTGTGTAGTGCTATACTAAAATATATCATACTGCCACAAGTTGAGATTATACTTTACTCCTAACGTTCAGTTTTCAAACTGTGCACAATAAGGAGGAAAACTCGTTAGAGAAAAAAACTTCTGTGCGCTGCATATGGTTGTGTTGTCATAAAAACGTACAAAAAATGTTTTAACCGCTTCTGTTGACCCAAGCTCTTATCATTGGTGTTGATGTGGTTGAACACAGATCCTCTCCTTTTCCTGTAGAATTATTTCTGAAGTACACGTTTCTTAAATGAAGCCTCTAGGCCTTATTACCTTACTGTTGAAAAGTGGAGGATTGTGCCTTTTTTTAAAGAGACTGTTAATGTAAACTGTGAACCAGTAACAGTTTGAACCTCTGCCAGGGTGTTCACTTCATTGTTTTTTTATCTTGTTTGTTATTGAAAAACAAGATACTTTAAATCTTGCTCTAGCGCTGCTGCTGAACTTCTGTGTCTGCTCCTCCAGGCTCTGGAAGCTTCAGTTCATGACCGTGATGTTCTCCTGACCCCGTTCTGCAGTTCGACTCAAATTTGTCCTGAACACCACTCGCCCAACGGCACACAATGGCGTCTAATATAACTGTGAGTATTGGGCATAGTAATTATTTTCTGTACACTGTGTAAAACTGCACTGCGATGATTATAAGTCACAGAGCTTTGAACCAAATCAGAGGAGTCCTGTGTCATCAGTGCAGGAGTGACAAGGTCAAATGAGGGTTAAAGGCAGACAACAATGAGATAAAATGTATGTAATGTGCCTTCACAGCCCTGCAGAGGAAGTTGTCAGCGGTGAAAAAAGGCTTGATGACATGTTGGGGTTTCAAATATTTGTTCAGCTTCTTTGAAAAAGAATGGTCTGTCCTACTTAACTAACAGTGTGCAACATGCCATTAAAAACAAAGCATTCATTAGAGCCAATTAGGTTTTCATTCTCGTAAATGAGGAGCCTGACATGAGGACAAGATGAGAAAAATGGACAAACAGTCCAAGTTCATAAAAGGGAGAAGAGACGTGTTCTTTACATGTAGGCCTCCTGCTGGAAGTGGATCAGAGGAGCAAGTAGGTTGTTAGAAATACAGCATACATTTTTGTTATGGTTATTTGGGCTATGACAACGGGCACTGTTTGATTACAGAACACTAATCTTTTGTCTTTTGACCTTCTCCTGATGATGACTGACGTAATGGATTTATTGCAGGTGGAACAGCAGTTCTCACACAAGTTCACAGTGAATGTGGTCAGTGCTGAGAACGTTACCAAGGGGGCGCTAGGCGATTTATGTAAGTTATTTTGTCATTGTTGTGTCTTTGTGGGTCTATACCTTTGACTGTCAAAAGAATATAAGTCTCCCCTCAGATGTGGTTTTAAAATTAAATTAACATTTTTACAATTTTTACCACTACCAATTATAATTAAATTAACATTTTTACAATTTTTACAATTTTTACAATTACCAATTACGTAAAAACAGGGACTGTGCTACAGAAAGTTCTCAAAACAAAATAATGAATATTTAAAAGTCAGGTAAACTGGATTACAAATTGGATTTTCTGTATTCAAACTTAGACTAACAGTGGATTAGATGACCCTGTCAGATGAACAAAATAAACAGCACTGTTATTAAAAAAAATGACATTTGGACTGCCACCCATCCAGAAAGGCCGTGTCGCTCAATTTTCAGCTGCAACCTATCATTTTAGAAACATGGCACAATACTACATGTACAAATACTCAGTGTACTAATGTAATGTCATTTTCAGCTGCAACCTATCATTTTAGAGACATGGCACAATACTGCGTGTACAAATACTCAGTGTGCTAATGTAATGTCTTTCTCCCTGTGTGTGTGTGTGTGTGTAGTGGATACCCCCGATCCATATGTGGAGCTGTTCATCCCAACAGCCCCAGAGAGCAGAAAGCGAACCAAACACATCGACAACGACATCAATCCAAAATGGAACGAGACGTTTCACTTCATCTTAGATCCCAACCTGCAAAACACACTGGAGGTTAAACTGCATTTTATTAATCAATAGAGTCTTTAGGAGCACACAGTGAATGTGGCTTCGATGCAACTCTGTTCTTATTACAGACACTTAGTGGTTTTTTTTATCTAGTTTTTGTTACATGTACTTTAAAAAATGAGTTGTCACTCACGTTCATTCATTCAATTACGCATCTCTGTTGTTTCCTTCAATCAGATCACATTAATGGACGCCAATTATGTGATGGACGAGACACTTGGAACGTCGTCTTTTGACATTAGTAAGCTCACAGTGGGACAAACTCAGACGGAGTCTTTCCTCATCGGCAAAGTACGCAACGAAAACTTCATGATTCCAGTCAATTTTCACTGAAAGCTTTAGTGTTACAGATCAGTGGGTGTTGTCATTATGAAGGATTGTAGAACAGTCTGCAGTTTGAAACCACACCTCATTAGACCGGGTTTCCAAGCTATCATTACAAGTGCAATGCAACATGTTCCTAAAAACGCACCACTGCTCCTATCAAATTAGGTCATTGTGAACAGATCGTATGACATCAACATTTACAAGTGTCTGTTCCTGTGTTTGTAATCATGTTCAGTCCTGGCTACAGTAGTTGAATGTGTAACTCGTGTGTTTTGATGACGGCGACTTCAGAATTAAATTAAAAATTGGCAGAGTGGATAATAATATCTCTGTTATTTTAAACCTCTCAGTAATGCCAGTACTCTGCAGTCAGCATATTTCTAAGAACTCATCAGCTATCAGATAGAGTAACTTACGAAGTTGTAAGACAAATGCTCTATAAACAAAGAAACGACTTTTAAAGACCTGAAATGATTGATGTTTGTGAACTGTTTACTGTTAAGAGCTGCTTTAATGTACTCACTCTACCCATGGTAACTGCATGTTTGAATATTTTGGCAGACGACCAAAGTACACTTGGAGATGTCACTGGAGATTTGGTATGTATCCCAACCATTATCCAATCATTTATTCACTTTTGTCATAGCGGTGTCTGTACGTGATATTTGTTACGTAGACCTGGGCTAAGGTTACAGAGGCGACACCGTTTGTTTGTAACCTAATCCATCCTAGGAACCGAGTAATTCATAGGAATTGCCTGGGTGTGGTAGAAACACTAAATTTAGCTGCAGGATCCGGTGACAACAGTGTTACGTAATATAGAGTGAAAGTGCATCACAATAGCTATAGTATGACTACAGAGGGGTTAGTGGGAGGATTTGGAAATACCACACATGGTTCACAGGTGAGTAACCATGAGAAGGTCAGTGTAACACAGACGACGTGTTTCAACATGGTCAATCATTTGTTTAAAGTCATGGAATGTCCCGTTCACATCTGCAGCACCAAACTGGACCTGAGGTTCAGCCTGGCCCTGTGTGACAAAGAGAAGGAGTTCAGACGAAACCGCAGAGACAGAGTCATGCTGGGCATCAAGAAGCTGCTGGACATGGAGAAACTCTGCTTCCAGCTCAGGTCTCCGGAAGAGGTTTGGAAATATCAATTATAGAAACATCTAGTGTACTCCTCATTCTATTTTTAAAAAACCCAAACACTTTTAAATTTCTTAGATTTTAAAACTCCACTTAAACAAACACAGTTTTGACATTTGAACTGTCTCTCTGCAGAAACGACACTCCCCACATTTTTTACAACTTTCTCTTGTGACAGAAGTCCTAATTAAGGACATGCCGACGACTTGGTCATTATGTCATTATTAATTATTAAGTGGGACTCATTTTTACATTCTTCACACATCTGTCATGTTTTTTTCCGTGACTCTGTGGAAAAAATGTTTCCACCGTTTATTTTTTCAGACTTACTGTGGTGACAAACATTTTGAATGGATGAGCGATTTAATCTACTTTGTAAAGTACTTCACAATTTTCTGGTAAAATAATGTATAAAACTATCAAATGTTCTTCAAAAAGAGCCCAAAACCAAACAATTCTATCAGTTGATTTCAAACCGCAGATAAAAAAAAGCAAATGGACAAATGATAGGTACAGTAATAGGTAACAAATAAAAGGTTTGTGCCTCAATCCATGCAGAACATTTGTCTGACTTTTAAAAAAAACACAACATTTTTGAAAAGACTTGAAGGCAGCTACCAAAACCTGACTGGTTTTCAGAACACACACCAGACTCAATAACAGTTCACACGACGAGACTGTGTTCGGATACTTCTCAAAAAATGTCAACATGTTTGATGGACTGGTCAGGTCTGTTCCACTCACACGTTTGCTGATTTGCATGTGAGCCGTTCACATACCAGCCGATTTCTGTGCCCAGGAGCCATGCTGACTGACTCGAGCTGGTGCTGCCTGGTGAAGACTGACAAACTGGGAACTACGGTCAAAATATGACAATAAGATAAATGCAATTTTATAATCTGTGCTCAGCTTTAGACACGGTGTGTCAGGTAGCAGAATTTAGCGCTAACAGTTAAATCCTTCACCAGGCATGAACCCTATCACTAGCCCTGCTGCAGATGGATGACATAAATACCCCAGTAAATCTGTCCACACACATTTTGAGACCAAAGAGACCAGTGAACAATGTCCTGTGTTTCTGTCTCGTCACAGCCACTTCGTCTGACCTGCCTCAGCAGGTGCCAGTTTGCATTTCTGTTTTTAGCTGTGTCAAACTCACATGCAAAAATCAAGAGGTTTAACATCGACACGTTACCATGTGCTCCTTCATGCTATTGGCTGCTGACATTATCGTGCTTACTAAATGTGGTTGATGAGCCTTAAAAAAAAGAAATTTGATCTGTTGAAAATATGTTGATATGTCCTAGACTGTTCCCTGCTCTGCCATGAGACTTGGCTGTAGACAGGCCGGTCAAACAAATGCACCTTCAGGCTTTTGGGTCTATAACGATCTACATCTTAATGAATAATTTCATATATTATGCACCTTCAGGCTTTTGGGTCTATAATGATCTACACGTAATTCTTAATGAATAATTTCATACATCAGAAGAATGTGATCTAAAAATGTTGTGATATATATCCCAGATTATTTAAATATTCAATGTAAAACAAGCAGCGAGCGACAGTGTCTTTAATCTTGCTGTGAACCCAGTCTTCTGAGTTTCCTCTCAGTTTGGGTTCCGTCTTGTTTCCTCTAAGCAGGCTGTGCTGTTCTCGCAGAACTGTATTTCTGTGTTTGTCTTCACTTTATTCAGGAAACTAGACAGAAGTGAGATAACCTCAAAAAAAAAAAGTTCTCAGACTACATAACACCACCCCACTATTCCTGGCAGCATGTTCATTACTGACCAGAAGATAAGCACAGGCCGGGGCGGGGGGGAAGTGATGTTGGGTGAGTGTGAAGCGACAGCGGAACATTTCAAGTCAGGTGTGAATGTTGTGTGTGTGTGTTTTGTCCAGGTACCAGTGATAGCTGTTGCCGGCTCAGGCGGTGGTTTCCGAGCCATGGTGGCCTTCTCAGGCGTCATGAAGGCCCTGTTTGAGTCCGGGGTTCTGGACTGTGTCACATACGTCGCTGGACTCTCTGGTTCTACATGGTGAGGTTTTTTTTTTAAATATTATTTCTGTGATTATTTTCTCACACTCTGACAATGACTTTGACTTCCTGTATTTCTTCATATGCTGCCCATGTTGCACACATCATTTCCTGTCCACCGACTCTCCTCCCTACTCAGTTCACAAAAGACAAAAAAATTACAAGACCTTTCTGCCCCTTTGATCCTCAAAGTCAACGGTGTCAGCTCTCTAACATTTTGATAACACCTGTGAAAACACCTCATAGACCTGGAGCTCCACTGTGCCAACACACACTCACAATGTTTTGGGAGTAAATCTTGGTAACAAAAACTGTATTAGTTCAAAATTCAGTTAAAAAAAAATCCTTCCTCATCTGTATTCGTGCACACAGGTATATGTCCACTCTCTACTCCCACCCGGACTTTCCAAATAAGGGACCAAAGGACATCAACAAGGAGCTGATGAAGAGGGTGAGCAGTAACCCTCTGAGGCTGCTGCTGCCCCAACACATCACCAACTACATCCAGGCTCTGTGGACCAAAAAGGCCAGAGGCCAGCCTGTTACCTTCACTGACATCTTCGGTATGCTCATAGGAGAGACACTGATACCTGCGGTAAGAGCCAGCAGCCGCGCGGGACTGTCAGTTCATATTTGTCCGTGTCTCCTGCTGCTACAGCTAATGCCTTGGTTATTGTTTAGGAGATTTTTGGATTCCCATCATACCAATGGATAAAGTGAAGTAAAAAGTGACCCCATCTGTGCTCTCTGCCCCCTACAGAGGATGGACACCAAACTCAGTGAGATCCAGGACAAAATAGATCAGGCTCAGAGTCCTCTTCCTCTCTTCACATGTCTGCACGTGAAGCCCGATGTTTCTGAGCTCATGTTTGCAGGTAAAAAAAAAGGTTTCCGTGCAAAGAAATATAATAACAATCTGCTGTTGATGTGACGGTGGTTCAACTTAGTGTCAGATAGAAACTGAGCCAAATTGAGGAACTGAGGCCCTGATAGACTCGAGGGTTTCTGCCCCCTTTGTACAATACTCCCTGACGGTGGAGGCTGCCAGTACGCTACTGTCCAATGAGACAAGAAGACAAAGAGACATTTGAACTGACTGTAAATAAAGGAAGACAGTCTGGTCTGTGTTTGATGGGGACACTGTTTAAAAACTGTCTATCGTATAAAATCCTTTAAAAACGTAGTACTACTAAATTCGAATAAACACTCAGTACTACTGACCTCATCCAAGAATAGTCATAGTCCCTACAGTCTCAGCTGTAAGAGAGGAACTGCTCATGTGTGCTGTTTCACTATGATATGCACCAACTCATTTAAGTCGTCTTTTGAAAACACATTTGAGTCATTATTAGCTCAAATCATTTTTGTTTTGTTTCTGTATGAACCACTGCAGTGGAAAATACCACACTGTCAAAGAGAGATTAGTGAATTTCAGTTCCGTATCAGCCTGTGTATTTTAACAGCTTTAAAGGATTGCAACACTACTGTTCCTCTGTTGTGTCTAAAACTCCAGAGTGGGTGTGTTTGTACGCAGTGGAGTGACGGAGTGGTCTAATTTATCTTTGGGAATTTGTGTTTTTGGTGGTTTCATTGTTTCAGCAAATACGTCATAAATGACTCGGTAAATATATAATAATAAGATTTGTGTACATACATACAGTACATGCATAGACTGACATAAAGATTATACTTTTGTCTTGCAGACTGGGTGGAGTTCAGCCCATATGAAATCGGGATGGCAAAGTACGGAACGTTCATGACCCCGGACCTGTTTGGGAGCAAGTTCTTCATGGGAACTGCTGTCAGGAAATATGAGGAAAACCCTCTTCATTTTCTCATGGGTATGAAAATTCAAATACTTTTGCAGTCAGTAAAAATATTCTGTTGTGATTCTGACAGAAAGTTTCTGGTGTAACAGGTGTTTGGGGAAGTGCCTTCTCTATCCTGTTCAACAGAGTGCTGGGAGTCAAAGACATGGGCGGGGGCAGCACCATGGAGGAGGAGTTAGGTAATGTATAAAATGTATTTGACCTTAAGGTTAAACCAGATACTGGTATAGTGTTTCATATGGGAGAAATATCAAGAATAATAGAATTATAATTGAATAGAAACTAGAATTATAACCCAAAAATTTAGCATCATAAAGTTGGGGGATTTTTGTCAGCTTTCAAAACTCTGAGAGAGAGAGTGAGAAAGGGAGGGAGATGCGATGCAATGCAGTTAATTTTTTTTTTTAAATTTACAAACACTAATTACTGAAATTAATGTGTTACTTTTTTGTGAAAATATATATATGTATAAATATATATATATATTAATGATATATTTATATAGAAACACACACTTGGTGAACGTCCTACCACAGCCTCCAGTCTTTTCTTTGCACAACAGTGAATTTGTTTTCACACATAGGATTAGTGTCTTCCCACGTTTAAAAATAGCTGACCTAAAATTATCCCACCGCACTTTTAAACATGCATAATGCAGGTATTTTTTGTGTGTGTTTGTGTGCGTCTACCTGTACGCCTCCTGTGATCATTTGAGAGCATATTTGACGGCTCACGTGTCACGGATGAATGCAGCTCTGCGTGTTGCACACTCAGCCCCTGAACTTTCCACTCGTTTAAAGGACAAATCTGTCTATCGTATTTCTTCCTGGAATCACCTAGACAGAGACATTAACAATAGCCAGTGAATTTGATAAAGTCAAATCGCAAATAGCGTCAGATACTGTGCCAAGGTGTTGTCTAAAAACAGACTTGGTAATCTGACAGTCATACCTGTGTTCTGTGTTCCAGAGCAAATCAAACCTCAGCACATTGTCGGAGATGACAGTCTGGACAATGATGATGATCCACGAAAAGGTGACCTGCACCTGACACTAACAACCTCTCTGTGTGCTCTATTATTTTTGTTATCATGTGACTAGCATATTAGGAGAAAAGCCCTAATACAGAAGAAGGAAGTATGAACATTTTTTACCGGTGTGATCTCTCCAAATACAAATGACCAGTGTGTGGGTTCAGATCCCTTTTCAGAATCCACTGGAATTTTGTGATTTTAACAAGAAGTGATTAATCTAGTATCAATAGAAGTGTCTGAGTTCAGAGTGACACAGGAATGACACAGCTTCACACCCACTGCCTCACCAAACTGCAGTTTTTTTACAACTGACTATACAAAATTAATTTAAACAACATTATCCTATTGTCTTTAAAATGCAAATGAAGGAGACAATAGTGCTCACAAATGTGATGGATCTATATTGGTAGATCAACTTCAAACACTAAAGGCCCTCTGGCTCAATCAGAAGTTTGAACAAGTCGATCCAAATTTGCTACAAAATTTCACCAAAGTAAACAGTGGGCTCGGGGAGCAGTGTGTGGGCACGGTGCCATGCTGGTGGACTCGAACCTGAAGCCTTACAGACCCAAGTCCGATTCCTTAACCACTAAGCCACTGCCCCATACACATGAGGGGGTCTACGAACCAGTGTTTGTGTTCTAGGAATTTGAGAAACAATTGAGAACCTCTGGCTTAGATGTAACAAAGTTGATGTTTTTTCAAAAAAACACTACAACCAGAAAAGGGGAAGGAACCCCCCCCCCCCCCCACACACACACACACACACACAAAGCCATCTCTTCTAGGTTTGCACCACTGACCCCAAGCTTGGAAAGAAAAACACATCTTCCAGAAAATTGTGAAAAAGCTACAGGCCTTGAACCTGAAAAAGTCCAGACCAAAGAGATAAAATGACTAAAGGAAGGAAATTGTCTTATCTGATTCTTGTCATTTACTGCTCGTCCTTGGGGTTTAATTACGTTATGTTATGTTAAACTCCACAAAACAGTTTGAGGCAGTTTTCTGCCGCTTCTCTTTTATCCATAACAGTCGCAAATAATTTGTAAATGTCATCAGGTAGGATGTGGGGGCACATTTATTTAGCAAGGTTGTGGTTTAAGGAGTTCATGACATGACTTTGGTGTTTAGGTGGAAGAGAGAACCAGGAAGCAGAGGACGATAATCGCAAGGCTCAGGCCAGCTGGGTTGAGAGAATGTTCACCTCACTCTTCAGCGATTCTTCTCTGTTCAACACCAGGGAGGGTCGTGCCGGGAAGGTAGCGTTTGCACTCGTCGTACTAGTTTCCATTGACCTCATGTCCCATTCATTACATCACCCTACTTTGTTTCCAGGTTCATAATTTCATGCTGGGCCTGAATCTTAACACCAGCATGCTTTTCTCTCCGCTGCACGAGGTCACGTATCACGCTCCCACACCCGAGGAAGAGGTGGACGCAGTCACAGGTGCAGTTCGAATGATTTCGAATGGTTCTACGTCTGTCTGAGAAAACACTGCCCTTAATGAGATGTACCGCACATTGGTTACAACCCATTCACTGTACAGTATAAGCTGCATCCAAATCACGTTGTAAATGAACTGACTGTAGTCATGTAATGAAGGGATCAAATTGTGGTGCATTATGGGATTTTTCAAATTATAGATCATACTTTTATTTAATGTAGATTTTAGAACTCTTTACAAAACTGACAACACTTGAAAACTAGTAGACATATCTGTATATCCTTCTTTTAAACTACAGACAGTTAGTTAATAACTTGATTAAATACATTTGAATGAAATCAGTCGACCAACTACGTAGTAACAAGTTCAAGTGTCAGGACTGGGCTCAAAGCAGCTACCACAGGTCTTGGTTGGGGTGTACCATGAAACCTTGGCTAAAGACATTTAGCAAAAACAGCCAAGGTCTGTAACTGTCTGTGTGTTCTGGGAGTCAGAAGAAACCTCTGTGAGGAAATGTTCAAAGACGGAAACTGCTGTTGAACGTGTGTGACCTTCACAGACCATAGGCTTACTGTAAAAACAGGCTGCGGTTACACGGCTTATTTCGTTCTGTGTGATCTTCTCAGACCCGGATGAGTTTGATCGCATCTATGAGCCTCTGGACGTGAAGAGTAAGAAGATCCATGTGGTGGACAGTGGCCTGACCTATAACCTCCCCTACCCTCTCATCCTGCGCCCCCAGCGCACGGTTGACCTGATTATCTCGTTTGACTTTTCTGCCAGACCCAGTGATTCCAGCCCTCCATTCAAGGTCTGATATGGCTTTTTAACAAGAGTCATATATTTATACAAGTACCAGTAACTGACGTTTTCTCCCAACCATTTCTACGCAACAGGAGCTACTGTTGGCCGAAAAGTGGGCTCGAATGAACAAGCTTCCATTCCCCAAGATTGACCCCAAAGTCTTTGATCGTGAGGGCCTGAAGGAATGTTACATCTTCAAACCAAAGAAAGGAGAGAAGAACTGTCCCACCGTCATCCACTTTGTCCTGGTCAACATCAACTTCAGGAAATTCAAAGCCCCTGGTGAGTGCCTGAGAGCGTGGAGTTTTCCACAGCATGTGCAGGAGGGAAAATATGCCCAGTCTTCTCGTCTTTATTATTATATTAATGCTGGTTTACCATCAAGACACATGAGACATCTCTTCCTCGAAGTTGCACTTTGGAACATGAGCATGATGGCTTGAAAAACATGATTTTTGGTAAGTGTCGGGTCACCTATCTGAGTGACCCTTAACAAGTCTCCTTTCATCATCACTGGGGTTTTATGCTGGGAATGATGCGATGGTCTGTCCTGTGTGTGTGTGTGTGTGGGGGGGGGAGATGCCCACAGATGATCCTCCTCTTCTGTGTGAGTCTTCTGTGTTTTATGAGCTGTACCAGTAAGTTATGGCTCCTCAGAGAACCAGGTGCCAGAGTGTAAACATGTCGTACATCAGCAGAGACACAAAGACACACTAACCACACTGAGTGGGTTGTCGGCCCCTCATACATCCGCTGTAATGTCTGTTAATAGACATTACGTAAGCTAAACTAACATGTAAAGAAGAAATACCATAAATGGACTTCCAACCAAAAATGATACATTTCTAATCCTGACAATTTAAAAAAACATTGCAAATGAGCACCCAGTTGCTGTCTTTTATCCATTCATTCCTGACGTTAGACAACTATGCTTGCGACTCTTCTTACAGGTGTGCCCAGAGAAACGGAGAAGGAAAAAGATTTGGCAGATTTCGACATCTTTGATGACCCTGAATCACCGTTCTCAACGTTTAATTTCCAGTACTCTAACGAAGCTTACACCCGCCTCCATGATCTCATGGAGTTCAACACGCTTAACAACCTTGAGGTCAGTTTCTTAGCAATCATTTTATTCTAGGATTACTGATCAAAGGAATTTTCCATCTGAAAAAAAAGTATGAATACTAGCATCAAAATATATTTGCAATACAACCCTGCAAAGGAGAAACAATTTCAGTGCTGGTACTAGTCATTTTCTGTTTATTTCCCTTTATCTCGTGTTGTCACTGGGGAAGTTTGTGCAGTGCAGTGTTGTCACCAAACAATTCATATTAATTCATTGTGCAACATAAATAGCTGCACACCACTCAAGACGGGAGAGTACAGGCCTGGACAAGATGACAGTGGGTGTGTAAGTGTGTGAAGTCAGACTGACTTTCACACACTATCTGAGTCACTTCCTCACAGGCGTAGAATTCAAATGAATCTGATTTGACTGGACAGACACACTGTCCACAAATATTTTCATAAATACATGGTCAAAGAAACAGGGCGGTTTATGACTTAAAAAAAAGTTGATTGAGCCTTTTTTCTCCCTAAGAATATTATTATTACTCCATATTTCACCTGTTTATTTTATTATTTTATTGTTAAATGTGCCCATTGTGGGCCCAAACGAGATAAGCAGACCCATGAAAGTGAAACTACTGCTGGTGTTCATGATTGGGTTGGAACTTACTGCTGTAGTGTGCGCTGCTGCGTTATTTTTATGCCACAAAGATTGCTCTCATTATGCCACATGAGAGCAACATTCGAGAAGGGCAAAAGGCACAATAATCCTTTTATTCTGATGATCTTGTTTTCATAATCATGGAAAGCTAAAATCAGAATCAAATTTCGATTAATCGCCCAGCCCTTGTTATTATGCTTTAATACTGTCTTTGTCTTTTGTAGGTCATTAAAGATTCCATCAAGGACTGCATCCTCTCTCGGAAGGAGAACCCTTCATGTAGCCCTGTGCCATTCTCTCTGAGTGAGATCCCGAAAAAGAAATTTCTCAGAAGAGATCAACACTCAAAAGCCTGGAATCACTTGGGAATGGATAAAAAGTAATCACCTTTGGCCAGGGAGGATAGACTGTTTGGTAAACTGGAGGATGTACTGTAGTTTATTAAATAGGTTATTCACTTTCTTTTTGGAAAGTGTAATAATCTATTCTCCGATCTCTCTGAACTAGCAGTAGGCTGGTTAAACTTGAATACAAGAATATTTTCACCTCACGTTTACTGGTGAAGGCCGTGTGCATTTATATGGGACAGAGAGTGACTTTATCCAGCACTGGAATTTCAGATATCAACACCTGAGGGCTGGGTGGTGAAGCCAAACTCTGGTCTTCGTCACCAACATCCAAAGACTATCATTCCTGCATGTCTCCCTGATGATACCTGATATTATATGTCCTCTTAACTTTCTTTTCAGCCTAAAAAAGGAAGGACTTTTGGCTCTTATTTCCTCAGACATGGTGTGAACAGGTTTGCAGCACCATGTCGTCCAGAGTTTGTGTCGACATCTCTTGGCTTTACGTCTCAAGTGCCTGTAGCGAAGCTGAATCTGAATTGCATCTCTGCTTTGATTATTTCTATGCCTGCTTGCTGTTCCTAATTTTTACTTTTAGACATCTGAAAACCTCAGCTGTGCTTTCCATAAACAGCCTGCTATTTGAGTATGATTTTTTCTTTCGACAAATCCAGAAGGCTGGTTTTAACATGTAATCCTTTTTCTAAAACGTGAACTAGGTGCTGCTTGTTACCATGGATTTGTTGTTGTTTGAAAGCAACTCCTAAACATGAGGCATGTACCCTGTGTGGATATCTCAACAACTCGAGGATGTTTACCCACCTACAGGGAAGCAGCACTCCCTGCTCCCCTGGAGGGAGTGCCTCATATTAAAGCCACCATTTTGGTAAAACAAAACCTGGCGCCATGGAAACCATCGCTTCTTCCCTAATACTCCTAGATGAAGATGCACGTTTGAGTTGTTCACACTGCTTTTAAGATGAAGCAGCTGAAGTTTACATGGACTACGACTTATTCCTAGTCCGTTCTGTCCTCCACCTAATCCAGCTCACTACAGCGGGTTGAACCTATGCAGACTCTATGCAGGTTCTAGTGGAATTTTACACACTACACCTACACCTACACCTGCAGCAGCACAGACCTGGAATCTGACACATTACACCTATACCTACAGGGGCCTAGAGCTGCACACACACAACAGTGGAATTTTACACTGAAGTGTGTCCGACCCCTATACGGTCTTGTCTCAAACTCTTTGGTTCAATAGAAATTTGAGAAAAGACGTGTGCTGCAGCAGTGCATACAGCAGCGGCAGCACCAACATATCTGCGCAAATCACTGTCTTGTGTGGATTTTCTGGCGTGCAGGTGTATTGTTTTCTGTTCAATAGTTATTTCTGTAGTATGTCAATAGTTTTAATATTATTATTATTTCAATTATTTGTTACCGATCTGTATTGTCTCTTTCACACATTGAACATGTTTTTCCATTAAAAGAACCCAGTACAAAGTCCTATTTTAATCATTTTTGTCTGTAAAATCACCACTACTCTGCTCTAAAGTCTTAGGTTGTAACTTTCCAACAAGAAAAATAACCCAATGAATCTTGTGGAACTCTGTCAGACGTTATACGTGTGTGGTCTGTGCTAGAACCGTTGGATTTTTCTTACAAACATGTTCTTCTTCCATATATATATATATATTTTACAGTGTTTACAAATGCATCAACATCTACAGGGGGTTTGTGCAGAACTGAGACAGAAACCTGAATAATCCGAGTCTTTTTTTCTATTTTAAGTGAGAGATAATTAATATTATATGTGTAATAAAGATTTTTGTCTGACATGTTTTCTTTGTGTTGTTTTTCTTAATATGATAAACAGTATTACCTTCATCAATGAGTTTAAATGCAATTTGTGTTTTGAATGTATTAATAATAAGATCTATTTTTAGTTGGTGCAGGGTCCTTATTGCAATAATTTGGCTCAAATAATTACAGGTAAAATAAAGCGTTTAATTACACCAGTTCTCTAATTTCTGGTAACACTGATGAACATACTCCAGACTGGTAGGTAGCGGTAATGTAATGTGTTTTTTCAATCAGCTCAGCACTTCCAATTCCAGTGTAAAGATTGTACTAAAGCCAAGCACAACTTCAGTTGAGGAACAAAGAAAAAACAAATCCAGGGAAATCTCAGCACACTGTAAGGACTACAAGGATTTGAGGTTGATAAACCACCCGTCCATTAGCCCACCTCCACCTCCTCCACTCCTGACTTCCATCAACCAAAAAAACCTTTTCTTCTTGTAAATCCACTTGGCATGATTCACTTTCCAAACTTCCCACTCATACATACGCATTCTTGAACTTCTTGTATTCGGGTGCCTCCTCTCACACTTTCCTGGCTGGACAGTGACACACATTTGCATTGTTCCAGGCCACCCGCAAAGGGGAGTCAACGTCTCTGTCCGTCTCGTGTTGTTGCTGCAGAGGAACACACCGGAGATAAAATAAGTGAAGATCAAAGTCACTGCAAGTAAAGATAGAAGAAGGAGGAAGCAGCAGGAGATGGCAGATAGAGAGAACCATGTCATGACCTCAGTTCACCGTGTGGGAACAGGTCAGATTTCAAGCCACAGATGTCAATCACAAAGTACACACTTTACTATTGGTGGCGTCTGCATCAATCACCAGTACCATTATGAACAACTTGTACAGCCGAAGAAAAGGCGAAGGTAGCAAAACCACATCCATACACTCTGCATCACAGCTGTAAATGATGGACGAACCGAACATTGCAACCTACAATTCCGTCTTCAAGGGACTCTGGCAGTGAACTACATCACTGATTTTAATTAAACCTGTCTACTTTTTATTTCAATATATAATACTTTCATACATTCACCAAGACAGTGTAAAAGACAATAGGGTTAGGGTTTGGAATAGCTAAGTCAACCTCCCTGGAGGAGTTCATTCAGCTTTAAAAAGAGCTGCGTAACATCTTGTCTGATTCTGCAGCAGATTGTCGACGTCCGAGAAGATAACACCGTGATGATGCTGAGATGGCATGTTGTTTATCAGACAGGCAGAATCCAACGCAACATTACGACCTGTTGCATAATGGGATAGTCAGGATTTTTGGAGTCAAAACCTTGGAGTGTTTTTCTCTGGAGTGTTTCCAGAGATTCCTTTAGCAGAAGATAATACATTTTTTCTAGGTTTTAAGGATCACATTTGTTTGAAGAGGACTTTCCTTCCTTTTACTGTGAGCAAAGAGGATATTTGTTAAACACAGAAAAAAAGGTTAGGAGAAAGCAAATATAAAATCATGAATGCCGTTGATGACAATGTGTGCGAATGCTCTACCTCAGAACACAACACTTCAGCTACACAGCACATAATTAACTGGCATCAATACACCATCTCTCACACACTGCTTCGTGATAGTACTGAGGACACATGAGGCAGATCGTGATACAAGACAAACTGTTCACGGTCCTTTGCTGTCTAAATGTTTGCCTTATTTAGGTGATGCTTTGAATATGAATCGTGTCACCCAGTAAATTACCACAGGTGTAATTCATGTTGAGATGTTCATTTCTGCAGGGGTCACCGAGCATATTTTACATGAAAGAGTAAAAAAAAAAAACATATTTGTTGTTTTAAAACCTTAATGAGAAAAAGGTTAGGGATTTGGGTTTGGAACCAAATTGATAAGTGGTATCAATGTACCACTGCCTCCAAAAACTATAAACTTATTTAAACTCAAATTATACACTGCAAGAAAGACAAAATTCCATTTCCAGCAGATTGACTCCTAACGCCAACCTCAGGTCACACCTGTAGAATCTGATTCTGATTCATTACAGAAAGAATTCTAGAAAGTGTTTAAAAAAGGCCACCATGGGAATTCCACACCTTTCTCAAGGTCTAAAGTATTCTCCGGTGAGACTCAGAACAAATTGCTCCTAAATATGTGAATAGGTGAGAATGATGCATGAATGGGAGAAAGCCCTGAATAAATCCAGAGGATGTAGATCTTAAGAACAGTGAGCCGGTTGTGAAACAGTGGAATGTAACTTAAGCTCCTCTGCACAGCGTTCTTTCCTTTAACTCACCCAACCATTCTCCGGATCCCTCTGTCCTGCCTCCACTCCCTCACTCTCACACACAAAAGAAGGGCTTTGCGTGCATTTGTCATGAGTGTCCTTATTATGGGCGCAGACGGCCACAACCCGTCTGTGCTATGCGAGTGAGTAAGCACATCAAAAGGCAAAGGTACAGGCGCACACATGACATTCACGTGAACGTGTTACTGATAAAGCTCCAGGTTCTCATCATGGCCACCACTGTTTTACCCTCCACTCTGCGCGGCTGCACAGATCACACTAAAGAGAAAGCCTGACTGGATGAAGCCTCTTCAACAACGTTGACATGTCTGCATGCTCTGTGTTTAAATTTCAGCGCAAACCTGCAGGGCACAGGGCCAAGTGCTTCCATGCCAGAGAGTAGGACTAAGATCAGAGCAAAGTATCCTGAGCACATAATGAGCACCCTCACCTGAGAGGAATATCACTCACGGATAATGGTTTAATTAGGGGATGTAATGATTCACCAGGAAATGGGTTGGGTCTTCAGGCCAGTAGTGACTGTGGGTGGTTTCGTTAGACCTGAAGAGGATTTAGATTTTTTGGTTTTTGCTTTGTCGCCTTCAACCTGTAGGCAGAAGTGACCCAAATCTGTTTTTTTAAATCACACAGTGAACATCACAAATTCAATCAAATCCTGACAAAGAATCATAATAGAACAACAAGACCGACAGCCTTAGTTATCACCTCACCACCTGAAAAAGGTGTGGAATTCCAATGAAACACTTTTTTAATGAAGTCGTGGAAAATGCTTCTCTAGAATGCTCTCCTGTAATGAGTCAGAATGCGATTACTGCAGCTTTCCTGCACACATTTACAGATGAAGTATGATTTAGGGAAAAGGCATTAGAAATCAGTCTTCACTGCTCTATTCGTCTTGCGGTGACTTGTGGATCACCACAGCAGTTAATCCTTGGAATGCTGTGGACATTCTTGATTGATGCAATATTGACGACTGGGTACCAGAACTTAAGCAGACACAGCTCAGGCCCCTTTTTGTTAATCTGAAAAAAAAAAACCCAAATTGTTATTTAATTAGTTGTTTAATATTTATTTTTGTAATTGTAATAAAATTAAAGGTGTATTTGCTTCATTAATGGTTTGGCTATCTATTTATGCTAACTTTAAGATATCCCTTTAGCTATATACATATATATAGCTTTTAGACATTTAGGTAATATGGTGCACTCAATAAATGTCCCATCATCAGCCCCACTAAAAGAAACTGCACGGTTGACATGAGAGGAAAGAGGAAAAACGAAAAATAATGACCAAATACACTTCTTACAAAGAGCGCAACAGCAGGGCGAGGTGTGTCTCACAGAAGCGAGAATTAACATGACCTCAGAGTTCTGGTATCAAACATTGGGGGGGTTGTTAAAAACGTTCACTTGTTCCCTGAAATATATACTGTCTCGTTTATAAAAAGGGTATGGTGGGAGTTGGAAATTGTATCTTGTTTCCTGCAAAGAGTAGTAATAGAAAAAATGCAGCCACATGACTCAGGAAAACCCTGACATTAGAGAACGTAAGTGCTGCTGTGTGGGATCACAATGACCAGCACATTACAGACGCAGTCAGATAAACACATTTTCAGTAAAAAAAAAATCAAACATTATACTTCATCTGAGTAGTATCTTCATCTGTTTAGTCTGTAAGGAAAACTACATCACAGCTTATCTAGCACTCTGCACTGTCTCATCAAGTGGAGTCACTCTATAAATATCACAGAATGTTCTTCATTGCGAAACAAATTATTAAATGTTTTGCTAATGTTTGTTCATCTGTCAGCAGCACAACTTAGTATTTAAGAGATGGATTTTAGCTAAAAAAAAGTTTTACGGTTAAGCAGCTTAAGAAAGATGGAAAAAAGAAATCCAGATTTTGTCAGTGAAAGTGAATAAAGACTTGCACTTTGGTGTAATAACACTCTAGGGAAATGAATCAGTTTGTGCACGTTTGTGGCACTGATTTCTTTGGCTCAGACGTCCGAGAATTCTTTTTTTCTTTCTTCCAGCTCAGTGAGACTGTGCTTCAAGAAAAAGTGTCATTCTTTCTCTTTCCAGTCACTGATCCAACCATGTGGCCTGGTGGGCTGTAGCCTTTGATGCTGATTTTGCTGACATTGCAAACTGACACTGCTGCAGGAGATCACGAATTCTCCAAGGTTCTAAACATTTTATTCTATTCTCACGTGTTCTCAGGTGACCTAACCAGAATTGTTAATGCCATGTTTTTTTATTTTAATTTAGTAAAAAGGTGTTTTTTTAATTTCCCATTCAACAAAAAAAAAACAAATACCCCCCCCCCGAAAAATATGGTAAAATCATAATTATTTAGACAAAAGGTAATATGACGGATGACGTTTAGAAAAGAACACTTCGTTGCGTTATGGTCGTACACTACGGCAATAACAGTTTGTACAAATCTATATTTGTTTTGTACTTCCAGTAGTTTGAAAGCAACCACGGTATCTACGGTATATAGAGCTTTCGTGTCAAGTATTTCTACATTTTAAACAAAAATAAATCTAAGGTTTTTTTTTTAAATAATTAAGCGATTTTACATTTTACAACATTTTATATAAAAAATAATGTATTTCCAACGATCTGACATTACAAACCGCCATGTACTTGCCTTATTTATAATACTATACTACCCTCTTGCGGCCAAATGGCCCTGTAAGACTGGGGCTGCAGTTTTAAAGTTGACCATCAGGTGGGGATGTTTTATTAACAGAAAACAGAACAGGGTAGCGGAAGTGAGGAAGCTGTGTCTCTGCCTGCTGCTGTCACAGCAAAGAAAAGCAACCGCTACACCAAGAGCAGCATTTTTTGTTGTTGTTCTAACTAGGACTTAACCGGTTTTCATCAATATGTCGGCGAACACAATGTCTGCCCGCTTTAGGCGAGTGGACGTGGACGAGTACGACGAGAACAAATTTGTAGACGAAGAAGACGGAGGAGAAAACCAGCTGGGTCCTGACGAAGCAGAGGTGGATTCGCTTATCAGGCAATATCCTTTTTGACATTATGGTTGACTAATACACACAAAATATAGAAAACTGCAGTTAAATGTCTGTTTGCGTGTGTCATTATTATTTTTTCAGTAAATTACCTGTAGCTTCAGAGAGTGTATGAATAGGCGTCCAGCTGCCAGGCCAGTGTGTGTTCAGACTTGCCTGGCAGTCACATTCCAGGGATTTGTGACCCGAGTTACTGCAGGCTCTTTAAACGATAAAACCATACCAGAGCCTTTTGAGAGTTTTGACTTTTAAAATACCGATGTTTTCAGAAAGGATTATGTTGAAAGGACGGCCTGCAATTGTTAGTCGAATAATTTACTACAGGTGCAAGTCTTTGGCGATCATTAGCTTTAGAACAGCAAAGATTTATTAAAATTTTGTTAAAGGAAAACCTTTTGAAAAAAGGTGTGATTTCTGTCATCTGTCATGTTAGATTTGCAGTTGTGCTGAAAACCTTTTGAAAAAAGGTGTGATTTTTATCTGTCATGTTAGATTTGCAGCTGTGCTTTCAGTCTCATTAGCCTTATATGGCATGAAAAAGCTGCACTTCCTTATTGAAGGAGTGAGCAGTAACCACCCACCCGAGCTGAACAACTCTAGAGTTCTACTAATTCCACCGTTACATTTCAGTCTTGACAAACGCGACTCACACAGATAACAAGAAGGATTTCAGTTTTAATAAAGACTGAATGCAAATGTTCACACTACAACTGTGGTCAAGTTACACCAAATGTTACTGGAGTAACAGTCAGAACAGATGATTTTTGATCATACTGTTCTGTACTTTATTCTGTAACGTCTCGGTTGTAATTTAAACCAGGGTTTTTTTGCAACAAAAATAAAAATTAAAGTCTTCTGAGGACTAGGAGAGGAATAACATGTTTGGTACTATCGATTTATACATATGTTTTTTTTCTGTTTGTTTTTTGTTTTGTTTTTATAAACCGTGGATCTAGATAGGTACCTAGGTAAATAGAAGTTTTTCATTAGTTACATATTTATTTTTTTGTCGGTAAATTCCACAATTCTTGAAATGCGTAAAGTTGAATTTGAACAAATGCAGAATTTTTTTTTCTTCCATTTTTCTAAATTTGTATTGATGTAATAGTATTTGATATTATCTTCTAGTCAGTGTTTGGTTTTAGAGCTCAGCTATGTGTCCTTAACCTGAGATGCACAGGAAATCTCATGGAGGCTTTACAGGCAGTCCTGAAAAATCCACCGATCAACACAAAAAACCAAAATGTCAAGGTAGGTGTGAAGTTATACTTACTAAATTAAGCCAGAAAACTAGACTTGATAATAATAATTTTAAAAAAGATTAAAAGTACTTTTTTTTCTTTTCCTGTGATCTATATATATATATTTTTTTTTCTTTTCCTGGGATATATATATTTTTTATTTTCCTCTTCCTTCAGGACCGGGCTGAGGGTCTGGTGCTGAAGGTTCTCAGTGCCTTTAAGAGCAGTGACATTGAGAAAGGAGTTCAGTCTCTTGATAAAAATGGCGTGGACCTGCTGATGAAATACATCTACAAAGGCTTTGAGAGGCCGTCAGAGAACAGCAGTGCAGTTCTGCTGCAGTGGCATGAGAGGGTAAATCTTTTTTTGTCCATGGTAGAGGATGTGTAAATTGAGAAAGATAATTTAATCTTTTTTAAACAACAAAGTTATTTATTTAAATTAATTATGGTTTTCAATTCCATAGCATCAATTCACTAACATATTTATCATTCTGTGTTTCTTAAGGCCTTAGCTGCTGGAGGAGTGGGCAGCATCGTTAGGGTTCTAACAGCGAGGAAAACGGTGTGAAAGTGGATCAGTTCACACCACCAACAGATAACAGAGGGTTTCCTAAGAGGAAAAGCCGGCTGTTTTTACCGTATAACACTGTTGTTTGAGGCCGCAGGTTGAGTTTTGTCAGTAGAAAAAAATTGACTGAATATGATCCAACATAGGCCTAGTTGACCTACTTCTTAATGTAACTCAAAAGGGGTTACTAAAAGAGAAACAGAGGTATGAGACTGACCAGGCAAAAAGATTACCACTGATTTCTATAAACAGTGTTTGATTTAGACTAATACAGTATTTACCGTTGCATGTTAAAAGTATTACTGTTAAAAGAACAGTCTGAAAATGTGCGTTTCCACAGCCGGGCTGTGTTGGTAAAATCTGGCATGGCTTATTCTATGATGGACCAAATTTTGTAATATTTTCTTCATACTGACAGTACTCCAACTTTCTTTGTGTTACTATGTTTCGCCGAGATTATGTTTTAACCGAGACGTTACAGAATATTTTTGTCCCTTTTGTTACGTCTTAACTGCTCCCCTCGTCTGTTCAATGTATTCTCCTTCCTCAGAAACATGGTTGCTTTAAAGTAAACTTGTGTAGGTTCAAATGTTTGTGTACTTGTTACAGATACCATTAGAGTCAAGGGAAGAATGAATATACACATAGGAGAAAGCTGTTCTCAACCATTTTCTCCATTATCTTATTTAGCTTTTCCCAGATTTAAAGATTATTTCCCACAATACATCCGTCATTAGTTAATTTAACCTGCACTTGACTGTTTCTGGAATTTTCTGGCATCTTGCTCTCTCTGACTTCTGAGATTTACGTGGTTTACCTGTCCAGAGTCAATATTTTCTAAGACCTTTTCAAACTTTATTTAACAGAAAAAAATCTGAAATAACCAATTCCCTATTTCCTTATATACTTTATTTCTCAACATGTTCACTGCCTCGTTGGCAGATTATGTTCGTTGCCAAATTAAAAGCTTATTTTGACGATTCTGTTGGCTGTGTATAAAGAACTTTTGCATGAAATACAAATGTTTTTTAAATGTACATTTCATGTCGTGAAAGGCCTTCTAAAAAACAAATACATGTAATCTGTTTTTGATTTCGTTGAAAGGTCCTCTGAGCAAGGCACCGTCCCCATACATTGCTCCCTGGGCGCTTAAAGCTGCCCACTGTTTACTTTGGTGATGGGTCAAAAGCAGAAGTCACATTTTGTTGTGTGCAGTGTCACAATGACAAATTATTCACTTCACAATCAACTACACTATGCAGGCAGCCATGTTGGATCGATTTATTTTACCTTAGTCCGACGCACATTTTCTCTCGGTTTCCCGCTTCTTCGCGTCCTCTTCCTTAGCCAGCATCGTTTCAGTTTCTTTTGTTTTCCTTCTTTGCTTTTATCGCCGTGGCATCGTTCGGTAATAGATACACAGCATAAACGCCGCATTTGCGAAGTCATATCGAGGTTAACTATCATTCACCTGACAGGAAGTATGTACGTAACCGCGTACGCAGTTCCACCGAGGAGCGTTACGACATTTAAATGGCGGCACCGGAAAGGCTAAACGGAAATGAACGGATACGCATACCGTTATCACAGTTATTAAATGTCCCACGTCTTACCGTTAACAAACAAAACAAACAACAAACAAAAAAAACAAAAACAAACAAAAAAAACAAAAACAAACGTAAACTACGTGAAATAATTTGTTTTAACCTAAAACCACAATAAGATGTTTCGCGAGTATATTTATTATTTTTTATTAAAAACTTGATACATAATGGCAAAAACAGGAGAAAAGAAACCTATGTACATGTCATTAAAATAAAATACATCTTGGTATCAGCTACTGAATGAAACCTTAAGGCACACTCCTGATGCACTTACTGTAATGTTTGATGTGAATACTAACTTTGGATATGATGGGTTCATTACCTGAGGATGAAGACTATGTGACAGATCAGCGACTGATGACAAAGAGCCACATAACTGACCAATCACTGCTACACTTTGACAACTGATTACACCATGGGTTAAAAACACAAGTGGGAACACATTCAAGCACTTCCCAATAAGTTAATAATAGGTAGATGGTACTGAGTAAAAAGTTTGGGTCTTTGATGAGTACAATCATGTTTACTGTATAAATAAATCTGAAGCGTAGTGGTGACAGACTGAGGGTTTAAAGCTGGCCAAGAGTCCGTTTGATCCCAGTCTCTCATTAACCTTATTTGTCTTGTGGTATTAAGTCCCAAGGCCTGTCCGTACTCACTGGCCTCGATCACTCTATCAAATTATTTCAAAAGTCTTTCGCAGTCTGCTTGATGATGTGGCCTCCTTTCTAGACCACACCCACTCATTCACGCCACGTTGCTCCATCAGTGGTGCTGCACGTAATAGACTAGGTTCTGTTGCTGCACCTTTGCCTCACTCGCCATTTAAAGTGCTCTCAGTAGGGGTAGGCAGAGACAGCGATGTAGACGATGAAGGTGGTCTGGTACTCAATGCCTCCATCTTCACTGTAAGAGAGGGCTCGGACCTTCATGCGGTATGTATGTGGCTCTCGCAGAGCCCGGATGGTGAACAGCACCCCCTTCAGGTTCTCATCTCGTAGGGCAAAAGGTAGCGTGACGTCCTCATCCACCACCGTGAATGTGGTTCTGGGGTGCATGACTCCATCTTGAGTGTAGGCCACCAGCCTGATCAGGTCCTGATTGGCTGCAATACCAAAGGGAAGAGACAGCAGCTTGTACTCCAGGGCGTATGGACTGAGTGTACACTCCAGGTCGTTTGGTGGACAGTCTTTCAGACAGAACCTGCACAACAACAAATGTTTTTTCAATGAAAAAAAACCAAACAATTTTTACAACAACAAATGTTTTTTCAATGAAAACAAACAATTTTTTAAACAAATGTTTTTTCAATGAAAAAAAACAAACAATTTTTAATAAATAATAATCCTTATTATCCAGGTGATTAAACAGTGTGTTGGTGTGGAGGTTCACCCTGTGGCTGGATCCCTCTGATAGTTTTGTGGACAGGGTGTGTCGATGCACTGGTAACTTCCTCTCATGTTAAAGCACATCTGGTTTACTCCACACTGGATGTTCTGCTCCAGACATTCATCAATATCTGTAGATGAAGCAAACGGCTCATAACAAAGACCTTTCTAAAGAAAAGTTAACAACAACAATGCAACACAATGATGATGACTGGGCAGGAGAATCAGCTCTCACCTTGGCAGGTTTTGCCATTGGTCATGAGTCGGTATCCAGGAGGACAGAGACACCTGTGGCTCCCTGGTGTGTTCATGCACTCATGCTGACAGGCATCCCTCACCTCACACTCATTGATGTCTGGGGAAATGACACACACACACAAACCAGGTAAATAAACTTGAGCTTTCTCTCATCTCTACCCTGCCTGTCCTCCATAGTTACCTATACAGCGGCCACCCTGGAACTCAAAACCCTTCTGACAGGCCATAAGTCCCTGCTGTGAGGGATGTGAGCGAGCATCTCTGCGGCTACGGCTCCTAAAGCGCCCCCTCGTGGCGGCTGTGTACGAGTGATAGCTCTGAGACGCCAGGTTGTGGTACAGCTGCTGGTAGGAGCTGCGGTCATCAGAGGACTGAGATGTACGGTAGCCGTATGAGTAACTTTCATAGCTGGGCAGACGCTCCAGGCCAGCGCAGGATTTGCCATCACCCAGCAGGTGGCGCCCTGGTGGGCAGGTGCACTTGAAGCTACCGGGGGTGTTGACACACTGGTGGGCACAAGGCTGCGGCAGCCGCTCACACTCATTTATATCTGCCCTCAGCAGAAAGAAAGACCAGCACCATGAAGAGATGAAGTTATGAAGAAAAAACAAACACCATGAAGAGATAAGTTATGAAGAAAAACAAAAGAAAAACAAACGGGGTCAAATGTGAAGAAATTGGTGGAAAAAAAAGAGTGGGAACATGAAGAGGAAAGTGTAGGTGGTGCAGGTCATAACGACAGAGGAGAGGAGAGAGAGGAGAGAGGATAAAGGGGGAAATGTTAATTTAACAACAATACATTATCATGTCTGTAAGACAGAAATGTATTGGGACTTTTAACACATTCATCTGATTTCACCAAAGCTTTTACTTTTATATAGTACTGCCTTTTAAAACTAAATAAAATAAGCATAAACTACTGCTGTAGTAATGGTATCAGATTGTGTGTAACATGTATGAAAATATTGATATTAGAACAGGTACACTTTTGTTTTTGTGACCAAAACAAGACATGATTAATGATGTCAAAGTGGGACAGGAAAAAATGCCATTACAAAGCAACACGGGGAATAAGCCAGATTGAAAAGGAGACAAAGATTATAGAAGTAGAGACAAGAGAGTGGACACAGAGTGAGCTGTGAGTAAAAAGATGGTGCTGGTCTTTCATCATTGATGTGTCAAAGAATATTCTTTTCTATTTCCTCCCTCAGTGGGTCTTTCCTAGTTGCACTTGTATTGTGTGTTTTGAGCAAAAATGGTACATAAAAATGGAAGTAGCCGCAAAACTAATTTCTGCTCCTGTGACACTAAATGATAATAAGTCCTTGGAAAACTTAATAAGATAATTTTATTTAAACAAGATTTTACAAAACATGAATTTGTTTTAGCCTAGAAATGGCAAAAAGGGAAAAAGAGCAAATATACCTCCCAAGCTAAAAAAATAGGTAATATGCAGAAACCATTTAAAATGTATGAATGGTAAAAATACTTACTTACATATAATTTTACCAACCAAGCATTAGATGTAAAAAATAAAACAAAAGTATAGCAAAGATACAATTAGTTGCTCAATAATAGCTACAAATTGGTAAAACATGGTGTAAAGATGCTATTTTTGGTGTAAACCCAAAAAAAGCAATAAATATATTGATAAAGACTAACAGTTAGTCCACATGTGTCAAACTCAAGGCCTGTGGGCCAAATGCGGCCAGCCAAGTCATTTCGTGTGGCCCACAGGAGCTTAAAAAGCATTTGCCTTATAAGGGGAACTGTATTGCTGATGTGGCCCCCTGGTGAAAATTAGTTTCACACCCCCGAGTTAGTTGAAATTAGGCTAAAACTCAATCTAGGATGATTTTAAAGTTAGACAATTAATAATAATCCCCCAAATGGTGAAATTACTAGACAGGCTTTAAAAAGTATTAGGAAAGAAGCCAAAATAGAGCCATAACTGAACCAGGTCCATACAATACTTTCCAATGAACTTCTCTGCATTCAGCTGAGCTACAGTACATCTGGGCTTTTACTTTTGCAAATAAATGCTTTCATACTCACTGTAAACAAGTGTTCTAACACATGCACGAAATGCTTGCAGCAAAGATGTATGCATTATTGGTTAGTTACCAAGCAGGACTGCAGTACAGCATAGTAGAGATGTAGGCCAAGCAAGAAGCAGGGTCAATTATAACATCTGACCTGAGCTGCAGGTGATATTTAGGTGTCTGTGTCAGAGGAGGGGTTGCTGGCAGTAGCAGCAGTAGCAGAAAAGCTGATGTCAATGCAGGGCAGCAGCATTTCAAACTGCTCAACACATGCTTTAGTAACAATCTGTTTCTGAACACATACAATCAGTGTAAAGTCTAAGAAGATTATATTTATATTCTGTGTTTATTATTTCAGTAACAAAGTTGTACGTACCAATGCAAGGCCGTCCCACTCCCTGAGATCTGTAACCGCGTGGACAGGTGCAGTGGTAGCTGCCTCTGGTATTCTCACAGATCTGGTTGTATCTGCATTGATGGGTTCCGTCCCTGCACTCGTCAATATCTGACACATAAGACGAAGAGATACAGAGTACAATAGTTTTTATGTCGAATAACGTATTATAAATGTTGCGGAGCCGGTTCAGTCCCTCTGGACACTCACCCACACATGTCCCGTTCCCAGCTTTGGTCATACCACTGGGACACAGGTCGATACAAGTGTAACCCCCTCGTGTGTTCTTACACTGCTGGTCTGAACGACAAACCCTCTGTCTGCACTCGTTTATGTCTGAGGTGAAAAGAGAAAATCAGAAGTGTTAGATTTACCTTCACAACACTCACAACATTGATTTTATTTTAGTTGGGATTGTCAGCAGAGGGAGAAGAGTTTTGACTGTATTTAGGGTAGAATATAGAGTGCAGTGATGATTTCCGTAAGTATATTAAATATAATAGCATATATAATTCTTTTCGCCTCACCTATACACCGACGATTCCTGAGTTGAAATCCTGGCTCACAGGCACAGCGGTAACTACCGATGGTGTTTAGACAGTGTTGGTTGCATGGACTGGACTCCTGACACTCATTTATATCTGAAAAAACAAATGCATTGTTATACCTCAAAAACAAGATAATTCAAGAGAGTTTCTTTTTTAAGTTGAACTTGTTGACCCACCAGCGCAGCTCAGACCGTCAGCCGTTCTTCTGAAACCCCGCCCACAGCGCATGACACAACGGTAAGAACCAATAGTGTTCTCACACTCCTGTCCATCATGACACACGTTCCCAGCCAGAGAACACTCATCAATGTCTAAGAGTGAAGTAGAGTAGATAATTTAGGCATAGACACGTTTAATCTGGCACCAGTGTTTGTGTGATCTCCCTAATTCACCTTGACATGTCCTGCCATCAGCTGAGATTGTAAGACCCCTTGGACAGGAGCAGTAGTATGTGCCCATGGCGTTGTGACAGGTGTGAGAACAGGGGTTTCCGGCCTCACACTCATTCTCATCTGCAGCACAATAGTTTTTTTATCATTAAATTCAAAATATATAATTGAAGACACTTTTATGTTATCTGTTACTGATTTTGCACTGAAGCCAAAATGAACGTCACCTGCACAGTACGGTCCAGCAGACACCAGAGTGAATCCCTGAGGACACTGGTTACTCCGATCACCTGAAATCAATTTGAAAAATTAAATACTTTGCTTAAAAAATAATAAGTAATACATATATATAATTATTAATATGTGATAATAATAATACATTATATATATATATCACATGCATTTCTTAAAAACATGTTCACATGTGTTATGCATCACCTTTAGCGATAATGGCTTGTATGCTGTACTCCAACATCTCCTCTAGAGGGTGATAGAGTGCACTTATGGCTGTTGCCTGCAGTGTCTCCACCAGGTAAGGCATTTTGCCCCTTGACAGGTCATAGGAGATGGTGTGGTTCCAGGAGTAAGGCACGCTCTGTCTGTCGATGCTGAACATGCGAGTGGACAGAGCATAAACCTGTCCAGGACCAGTCTGGATGTAGTCCTCAGTGTAGTCCTGTGGAGGAAAGCAACAACTGAGACCACCTTGGAAGCAGTACTACAAAAACCTTTGGGAAAATGGCCTTATCTAAATGTACTTTGCAGAAATGTTAACTAAAAGTGGTCAGAAAAACAGCTAAAAATGACAGTCGATGACTATTTTATTGTTGACATTTCTTAATTAAAAAGTGAATTTGAGAATTGTCTTGAAAACATCCTAAATTTCCCCCAAAATAATTAAAAAAACTGGAATGTTAATGAAGTTATTAGGCCTAATGTACAATCTTGCTTGACATACCTAAAAATACCAACATACACAGCAGTGTACTACAATACATACTGCACACCAATACTTTTACAATACTATTTGTACCTTAATGTTGATCTCAGAGTGTGACGGCAACTGTGAGATGTGTCCGTTCACAACTATGTCCAGGAGCAGCGCTCCGTCTGAGTCCAGTCCTCTGGTCACATGGGTCATCCTCAGAATCTCACCTGGGAACACGATAGCATCAAATACAACGTAGATGTGTGCACGGCAAAAACAAGTACAGTAGGTATGTTTACGTGTGTACATTCATACCTGTAGCAAACTCCACCTGTGTCTCTCTCCTGAAGACACCGCCTGTCAGTGTGTAACCATTGACAGCTTCTCCAACCTCCTCTGCTGTGGTCCAGTAAACGGGATTCAGGATGGAGATCAGCTTCCTCATGGCAGGACCTTAAAAAAAATGATTGAGGAAACCTGAATTTCATTCTGAGATATATTCTGCTCATGTAAACCATGATTAAAACCAGAAGATTTGATAATCCTGTATTAGTGTTTCAATGACAGTAAACTGACCCAGGTTCCTTGGTATGTTGGTCACTGTGGCCTTGATGATTCTTCCTCCAGACTTGTTGTCTGTGATCGTTGCATTCAGGATGGCGATGCCAAAATCAATATCGTTGATGTTTCCTATGATGCTTCCTCGTGCTTTCTGGGGCCCACCTGATAAAAAGACATGGTGTTATGACCTGCCCATGCATCCAGTGTTTATAGAACTGTACAAGGCTAAGTCAAAAAGTTTCAAGACAGGTTTATAATACTCTTTATTCATGAAAAATAACAAAGCAATTTCTCTCTAAACCCTTTATTTAAATCTAGACACTTCAGTTCATTTTGATTAAAAGACCTTTTGAAATTATACAGATGTGTCTCAGAACTTTTTGATTTACCCTCATAAATAAAGAAAGCCATGACTTACCAGGGCAGGCCTGACTGTTACACCTAGACAGCTGGGAGGAGTCTCCTGGACACAGTCGGCCACCGTTACTTGGAGTCGGACTGTTACAGAGTCGGACACGTGTTCTCTCTCCACCTCCGCAGGAGGCGGAGCACTGACCCCACGACTGCCACTGACCCCAGGTACCATCCACTGTAACAACACGGTTTAAAAGAGGAATTATTATACAATTTTATTTTTTCCTCTTCAGAGTGAATCGACTGGCTTAACTCACCAGGACAGCTTGCTGTGCTGCACCTTTGGATCTGTGTGTCTGCACCTGCACACGCTCTACCACCGTTAGCAGGTCTGGGATTGTCACATGTCCTGTAGCGCCTCATCTGTCCTCCGTTGCAGGTCTTGCTACAGCTGCCCCAGCTGCCCCATGGACCCCAGTTGCCACTGACTATGAAAGGAGGTAAAAAAAAGATTCACTGTATGAAAAAGTTTGATATAGAGGTGAAAAAAAAAGTCAAACAGTAAGTAACTCACTGGGGCATGGCTCGCTGTTACAGAAGTCAATGTGCACGTCGTTGCCCTCACACTGCCTTCCGCCGTTCTGAGGAGCGGGACTTGAACAAAGACGGGTCCTCTGTCTGGTTCCACCTCCACAGGAAACACTGCAGGCTCCCCAGCTCACCCAGGATGTCCACTTTCCATCGACTAGATAAATAATATTACAGGGGTTAACAAATGTTCACACACAAAATTCTATAAGTCTAATCTATCTTAAGGTTTTTGGCACTGACCAGGACATGGTCTGTCTTTGCACACTTGAGTCTGGGTGTCTGTGCCTTCACAATGTGGTCCATCAAAAGCAGGGGGAGGGTTGTTACACAGCCTGACCCTGGAATGCATGCCCTTCCCACAGGTCTCACTGCATGGACTCCAAGGTAACCAGGTGCCCCAGTTCCCTGCCACTGCCAAATAAAAATAGAACAAAATGTAGGACTTAAAATAAGAAATGACATTTTGACAAATCCACTGTATGTAGAAAGATAGAAAAGAATGGCTCTTTATACTCAAGACTAAATAATAAGAATAAAACCTGTTAAAAGAAATAGAGTAAAATATAAAATGTTATTTTCATATTTCTATGGCCCACCTGGACAGGGTCTCACGCTGCACATGATGACCTCCACTGCCTTCCCCTCACATGGCTTCCCTCCATGCTGAGCTGGAGGATTGCTACACGTTCTGATGCGGGTTCTGTTGCCCTGACCACAGGAACGAGAACACTCCTCCCACAAAGACCACTCTGACCAGTGACCGTCCACTGAAATAGAAGATTTGAATACAAATGGTTATGATTCTGACCTGAGTCCAAAGTCACAATCATATTCTTATTTAATTACTCTCACCTGGACATGGTTTTCCCTGACAGCTGCGCCTCTCTGACCCTAGTCCCTCACACTGGCGCCCTCCATTGGCAGGTAAAGGGGAGTTACACCGCCTTTGTCTCTTTTGAGATCCAACGCCACAGGATACGCTACAATGACCCCAGTCAGTCCACTCTGAGTAACCACCGTGCACTGTGGAAAAATGACACCATATGAAGAAAAATAACTTTCCAATTAGATTTTTGTTAAATCTGATTATCCCTTTTGACTAATGTCCATATTAAAATATTCTACTGCTACCTAATGGAAAACTCACCTCGTACAGTAAGCGTTACCCTGACCAGCACAGAGCCCAGAAGGTTTCTGGCCACACATTCATATTCAGCCGTGTCCTCCTTCTGCGCGCTGCTGATTCGAAGTGAACCGTTGATCAAGCTGGAAAAGCGGTCGCTGGCCAGCAGAGGGCGACCCTGTTTCGACCACTCTATCATAGGTGTGGGCTCACCTTCTGCCTGGCAGTTGAGCAGAACAGTGGTGCCAGCATCCACCACTGTTTCTGCCGGCTCCACAGTGATGGTGGGAGCACCTGGAAGAAGAAGAAGAGGAGATTTTAATTTAATAATATTAAAAGAAGGGAAGTTATTACACAATAAGTGTTTATGTTTTATTACTGACTCTGTAAGGTCAGTGTGACGCTTCTTTCCACCACACCGGCATCATTTGTTGCTACACACATGTAGTTTCCTGCATCTTCACCCTGTATGAAATAGCTCAAGGATTATTATTCAAAAAATATGTTATTAATTACAAACTCACCCTGTATGAAATAGCTCAAGGATTGTTATTCATAAAATGTTATTAATTAAAAAAAAAAGTCTAAATTATGTTTGTTTCCATACCACTGTGCCATAGATAGCCAAGGAGCCGTTGTCCAGTTGACGGATTCGGTTGGTGATCTGGATGTTTATTCCATTTTTGCTCCACTGAATAGTGGGCAGTGGGTCTCCACGAACCTCGCAGTTTAGGATGGCATTTCCACCAAGAGGTTCGATCCGGTTGGAGTGAAAATCTCCATCAATTATTGGAGGCTCTGATGTCACACAGAGAGAATTGAGTCACAGAAGTAATAATTGTAATAACTGCAACTGTGAGTCTCTGATGAGGCTCAGCTCTGAGCTAATCCTTTACTTTAGTGCCCTCTACTGTGCTAATTCTTTCTGGTAAAAATTTCAACACAGAAACGAATTCACCTTCAAAAAAATAAAAAGCAATAATATAAAATTAGTTAGAAAAAAAGTTAAATATTTGAGCTCACCTTTAACATATACAAAGCCCAGTGACTTGATGGTTCCAACGATGTTCTCTGCTACACAGGTGTAAGTACCAGAATCTTCTTTACTCACTCTCTCTATCACCAGCTCACTGTGACCGTTCATGTGATCATAGTAAACTGTGGAATTATGGGAAAGAAAAAGAAAAGGTCCCAGTTAAAACCATGACAATGACAGATATTAGTTTCCTTCACTGACCAATGATGTCCACTTGCCTGGGACGACGTTGTTGTTGAAAACCCATGTGATTCTTGGTGGTGGGATGCCACTGACCCCACAGGTGAGGAGCAGACGCTCTCCTTTGTTGAGGGCTATATCGCCAAGTAGCTCAGTGAAGGCAGGATGGGTCTGAATGGTCAACGTGACCGTCCGACTGTCCTGCCCCACTGCGTTGGTTGCCACACACGTGTAAGTGCCTGCATCATCAAGCTGGTGAAGAGAAGAGCAAAAGAGCTGTGAGAAAACATCTGTTGCTTGGTGTGCAGACTTGTTGTTGCCATTAGTGACCATACATTAATGAATAAGGACATTAGAAATCTGGAAGGACACTATGCTGGGTTTTATGTCATTCTACCTGAGCTGTGTCTATGACCAGTTCTCCAGAGGGCAGGATGGTGTACTCGGCTGTGCTCTCACTCAGCGGAATTCCGTCCTTCTCCCAGGAGAGGCTGGGCTGAGGGAATCCGTCTGCTGCACACACAAGCTGGGCCTGGCTGTTTTCCACCACTGCTACCTCCTGCTCTCCATCCCGGATGGTGGGAGGGACTGCAAAATACAACAATATTACATACGCACTGAGTATGACTAATACGTGGCGTAAGCACACAGTCACTTGACTGAACCTTACTCTGTACAGTGAGCCTCATCTCAATGCTGACCGTCCCCGCTGCATTGGCAGCAGTGCAAGTGTATCGTCCAGAGTCAGTGGGCTGGACGAAGGTGATCTGCAGGGAGCCTGAACTGAGGACGCGCTGCCGTACAGACTCAACCAACGGCTGGCCGTCCTTATGCCACGTAACCAAAGGAGGAGGGGAGCCATCAGCCCGACACTGTAGCATCACAGAGGAGTCCACAGGTGCTACGTACGTTTGAGTCTCTGAGCTGATCACAGGAGGAACTGCAGGACAGAAAAATTACACACAATTTGTTAATAGTTCAAACAACTGTAAAACCTACATGTTCATCTCCCTACCATCACATGGCAGGAAGCTTACCTTGGACTTTAAGTTTGGTCTTCCCCAGTGCAGTACCAGCTGGGTTTTGAGCCACACAAATGTATGTGCCAGCGTCCCAAACTGAAGCCTTTGCGATCTGTAGACTTCCATTTGGTAGCACTGTGAAACCTCCCCCTGAGGGTAAAAAAAAAAAAATTCACGATGTGGTAGCACTGTGAAACCTCCCCCTGAGTGTTAAATAAATAAATAAATAAAAATCAAGATCCTTCCCTGTTTTCTGTTTGTTATTACTGACAGGTTTTGAATGAGACTGGATTATTGACCTGGGGTGGGAATGTTGATGCCCTCCTTCTGCCAGGTAATGGTGGGCCGAGGTGAGCCTGTCGCACCGCAGGGCAGAGTGATGGGGTTATTCAGGATAACATCCAAGGAGGGAGGGTGGGACTGAATCACTGGGAGCTCTGAGGAAGTAAAATGACAGCTGTACAATAAATGTAAAAAAAAAATAACCAAAACATTAATTCTAGAGATTTATCTTATCAAAGATTAAGTTATTTTTTCTAGTAATAAAAAATGTAAAAATCAATCTTTATCAAGCTAACACTCCCACATATGGCAGATCTGGAAAATGGCCTAATGTCAAAGACTAGGAAAAATGTCATCACAGTCTTCCAGAATCAGATATTTTTTCCGTTGTTTTATTAAGTCACTACTGTAACATGTATTTTGTTTCATGTTCTTACCCTGCACTGTAAGCAGTACGTGGCGCTGTGTGGAGCCCGCAGCATTCTTCGCTGTGCATGTGTAGTGTCCAGCGTGACTTAGCTCAGCTGAAGAGATCTCTACTGGACCTGAGTAAAAATGTTTGAATTGGGAAAAATGTAATTAAAGTTATCAATGTCATACAGATAAATTAGCATAGAAATGTTCGATTTTGTAACTGACCTGTGGGCAGGATGTTGAATCCTTGTCCCTCCTGAGGAAGCTTCATACCATCTTTGCTCCAGTGGATTGAGGGCTCTGGGACTCCAGATGCAGTACATGCAATGACCACTGGGGACAGTCTGGTTACGGTAAGCTCAGTCGGTTCATCTGCAATTGATGGAGGAACTGTAGGAAGAACAAAAGAGCATATGAAGGTTCATCTGCAATTGATGGAGGAACTGAAGGAAAAAGAAAAGAGCATGTAAAGAAAACATGTTATTACCATGTTGCCATAAAACAGCACAAAGTTGTTCAAATGTACAGGTCCTCTCACCTTGGACAGTGAGGTCGATGGATCTGGTTTGATTCCCTGCCTCATTGGTCACCTCACACTCATACACTGCTGTGTCCTCTACAGTCGGTGCTATAACCACCAGGGATCCAGAAGAAAGTTGTCTGAAAAAAAAAGACAATGAGGTGAAATTAGTTCATGGTTTTACAGGTTCTCTTTTAATTGGTCTTCGTAAATAAGGTTTAAGATCTGGAATAGGAAAACAAAGACGGAAAAAACCTGGATCAACCTGTACATATTTTGGTTCTGGTCAGTATTTATGGCTCGACCATTTTTCTTCCAGCTGACAGTGGGTTTGGGTATACCAGTGGCCTCACAGGACAGGGTGGTCTGGACGTTGACTGTGACGGTGACGTTGGTTCGTCCTTCCGTGATGGACGGAGGAACTGGAAGGTGAGCAAAATATAAGCAGGTCACTTAGTTACTAACGTAATGTGTTGGAGGCCGTTCAACAGTTTAAAAGTAGGGTTTTCATAAACTGACCATAAACCTGCAGGTCCACTCTCTTGCGTTGTGTTCCAGCTGGATTTGCTGCCATGCAGAGGTAGCGTCCTGTGTCAGTCACCTGAGCAGAGTGGATGTGTAAAGACCCATCATCTGCAAATGTGTACCTGTGCATGTGCACATCAAAGTGGGTGAGATGGTTGAACAGCTATAACAAGGATAATATTGATGACAGTGGTCTCAGAACAGCGACAAACTTTTACCTCAGGCTGTTTCCTGCTAATACAGCACCGTGTTTCCTCCAGGTTACGCGAGGTGTAGGGACTCCACTTACAATACACTCCAGAACTGTTGGCTGGTTGACAAGTACTGACACCGCCTGGGGACCTTCTTTGATAGATGGGGCCACTGAAGAGAGAAAAGGTTTTAATTAGGCAGAAAAGTGTTGGGATGTGTTCAAAACAACCAAACTGAGAATTAGCTAAAAAACAAAAAAACAAAAACAGTAACAAGAGAAAAGGTTTTAATTAGGCAGAAAAGACTAATCATTGAGTTTTGTAGCCAGCCATTAAGATTTTGCTTTTGTCCAGCCCGGCTTTGTACCTGAACTAGACCTTAAGTTCAGAAAGTGTTGGGATGTGTTCAAAACAACCAAACTGAGAATTAGCAAAACAGTAACAGTACCATGGACAGCCAGGTTGAACAGCCGTGTGGTCTTGCCAGCGATGTTACTGGCCACACACATATACTGAGCTGCATCACTGAGCTCTGCCATGTTGATCTGTAGGTAACGCCCAGCGGACAGAATACGCAACCGAGCGGAGGCCTGAAAAACAAAAAAGAGCACAACAGGTCAATGAGCATCAGGATAATTGCTAAAAATATATTAATTTAATTTAATTTACAATAAATAATAATAGTTTATTTATTTTTTATTTGAATTCTCACCTTCAGCGGCTGACCGTCTTTGAGCCAGGTCAGAGTTGGAGGAGGGACAGCATCAGACTTACACTCCAGTGTCATCTGTCTGTTCTGCAGCACTGACACATTCTGAGGTGAGCTCTCACCAGCAATGTTAGGAGGCACTGTGGCAGAAAAATGACGAATGTCAAAGAGTTGTGTGTGTACATGTAATCAAAATTCCTTAGATATTAGTACAAATAATGTATACTACATCCTTTTATGCTACACTTTATACAAAACTCTTTTACCTTACCATCCCTGAACCTCTCAGTTAATCACATGACTTGTTACCCACCATGCACTAGGACCTGGAACTCCTTGTCATCATCTCCTGCTGGACTGCTGGCCAAGCAGCTGTATCTGCCTGTGTCCTCCAACTGATAAAACATTATACAAAAGTGTTGCTTCTTCTTCTTCTTCTTCTGAATAATTAAATATAAATTGATAGCACAGCATAATACTTCATCACCGACCTGCGCTGAGGCGACAATGAGAACTTGTCCTCTGATAAGACGAGCGCTGTCTGTCTGTGGGAGTGGGCGGCCGTCCTTCAGCCAGGTCAGAGAGGGGGTGGGGATACCAGAGGCCTCACAATGAAGCTCCAGAACGTTATTGACCACCACGGAAACCTCCGTGGGTCTGCCCGAACCTTTGATGTGTGGAGGGTCTGAACAAGAAAACTGTGTTGTGAAAGTTGGTGGCACAAAGGTGAAAGGAAATCACGGTAATAATCTACTGTTTGCTCCTGGCTTCAGTGAGACCAAACCTACAAAAACTCACAGTTCCCATCATCATCCTTCACACTCACCCAGCACCTTCAGGTTGAAGTGGCGGTTTGCTTGGCCTGCAGTGTTGTTGGCCGCACACGTGTAGAGTCCCGTGTCATTGACCTGGGCCTGGATGATCTGCATGGTTGTATTTAGGTTGAGATATATGAGATGAAGATCAGGAAGTAGAGATTCGCCCTCTTTGAACCAGGACACAGAGGGAGTTGGAACGCCATCAGCGACACACATCAGAGACACGAAATTTCCCCTGACCACAGTCACATCCTCTGTGCTGCCGGCTCCATCCAGAGAGGGCGGAACTGGGCGGGGGGAGGAGAAGAAGATATGGATAAGAGGGAATTGGATTCACTGTTGAATTGAAGGTCAGCAGTTAGTGAGTCTCACCATACACCTGTAGGTTGTAATGTCTGTTGTGGACTCCAGCCCTATTTGAAGCAACACAGGTGTAGGTGCCACCATCTGACACCTGGGTCCTCGTGATCCTGACAGACACAAAATGGTCCAATAAGTAAAGTTTAGGGCAGACATGTGACCACACCAATGAGTCACAAACCTGCTGTTATTTGCCTTTCTGTTCTATGTCATATTTAGGAATGACAACTTGATTAATCATGATTATTCATGATTAAATTCAATTGTAATTATTGATGATGAATCAATGGCTACCCTGTGACTAATCTGATTATTAATCAGATGTTAATCAATTGACAGCCCTTGGTGTGATATGCGCTCCTGGTGCCCAGTCCACTGACCTACCGGAGCACCTGTCCAGCAGAGAGGAGGCGTATGTGGGAGGAGACTGGCAGTGGGAGGCCATTCCTCAGCCAGTTGAGCTGCGGTGGAGGAGAGCCGGTGGCAACACACTCAATGTTGATGGAACTGTCCAGAACTGTGGTCAATTCTTCAAACACATTCTCATTGTTGCCATTTATCACAGGAGGCACTACAGAATACGAAGAGTTTGAGATCAATAACATAGGAATTAATTCAAATCCAAAGTTGCAGGAATTACATATTACGTATTGTGTATTTGACGTGCACACACCATAGACATTTAGATTGTATATCCTGTCTTCTTCTCCTGCTGGGTTGGTGGCCACACAGGTGTACTTCCCACTGTCAGAGGAGTGAGCTCTGCTCACCGTCAGCGTGCTGTTGTCCCGGCTGATCCTGCAAAAATAAATAAAAAAAATAAAAAATAAATCAACCATTACATTATGTTTTTCATCAATATATTGAAATCACTTTTAACTCGTTTGCTTCCTACTCTACCTGAGGCCTCTGCTCGCTCCACTTGTGATGACCCGTCCATCCTTCAACCACTGGATGGTTGGTCTGGGGCTTCCCTGCACTCGACACACCAGCTGCACGCTCTCATTCAGCAGAACTCCCATCTCACTGGGCATCTCTGAACCTGAGATACTGGGAGGAACTAAAAGAAAATGTTCAAGTAGATCGATGCACTAAGTCAGGGGTGTCAAACATACGGCCCGCAGGCCAAAACCAGCCCACTAGGGTTTTCAGTCCGGCCCACTTGATGAATTTTGAAAAAAAAATACAAACACTTCATGTTCATGTATCTGTGAAATGAATAAATAATTATAAATATCTAATATACTTGACTGAAACCTGTGCATTTACCTTGTATAGTGAGTTGGTAGCTCTTGCGTGCTTTGCCCTCCACATTGGAGGCCAAACACATGTATGTGCCACTGTCAGAGAGCTGGGAGCGTGCAATCTGAAGCTTGCTGCCCCCTGAGAATATGTGCATCTCCAAAGAGTCAGAGTTCCCTAGAAAAATATGAAAATAAAGTGTAACTGCAGGGAATCACAATTAAAAACACAGTTTGTCTACCAGACTGTCAGTAAGTTTCCGTCCAGTTTACAAACATAGAAGGAGATAATATTTATTTACAGATAAGGTATATTTTACAGTTGAAACATGTAAACTTAACATAAAAAATATAAAACTAAAAAGGCTCAGGAGGAAGGAAGAAAACCTTTCTGCCTGAATCGGACCTACCTATTGGTCGCCCATTCTTCAACCATGTGAGGCTGGGAGGAGGGATACCAGTGGCATCACAGGAAAAAGTGACAGGGTTGCTAATGGTTTCTATCACTCTCTCTTCTTTTGGACCATCAATACTGGGAGGCACTGGGAAGAACGAGAAGGACAGAATATACATTACAGGTATTCGGGATATACGTTTTACGAAGGACAGAATATACATTACAGGGATTCGGGATGTGTGTGTTTTAATCAGTGTTATGTAATAATTGTGGTACCATAAATGTTTAGGTGGAAGTTTTTGTCCACTTGTCCAGCAACATTGGTGGCTTTGCAAACGTACTGTCCAGTATCAGACACCTTAAAGAAATGACAGAAGGAATTCTGCTGTCCAGTATCAGACACCTTAAAGAAACGACAGACAGTTGTGACACAGACATCAGTATAAACAGAAGAAAGCAGCGAGTCATGTCTCACCTCTGAGCCTTTAATGTGAAGCATCTGTCCCTTGGCCAACAGCTGCACGTTTCCTGACTCTGTCACAGCTCGGCCGTTCTTGTACCAGGTGATGGTCGGAGGAGGTACTGCATTAGACTCACACTCCAGAGTTACTGATTTTCCCACCAGTACATTCACCATGACGGGAGAGTCCCCACTACTGTCACGGATACTGGGGGGAACTAGAGAATGTACGAAACAAAAATCATAAATTAAACATTGTTACACTCTTGTAACAACACACAGTGAGGATGTAGAGAAAACTGACCAAAAACAGTCAGATGGATGTTTTTGCTAGCTTCTCCTGCTGCGTTCATGGCGACACAGCTGTACTTTCCTGCATCTGATACTTTTGCTTTCAGAATCTGTAGCAAACGACCACCTGAGGGTATGAGCACAACTTTGTCAACTTCAAACTGACTTCCTGTGAAACATATCTTAGTGGCAGACTGCCTTCCTTCCCAGTACCTGGCATAATGAGTGCATTTGTGTTGCCCTGAATTGGGCCACGATCATTGAGCCAACTCAGAGTGGGAGGGGGGAAACCAATAGCTTCACAAGCCAGAGACACAAAGTTGTTAACCACCACGGTCACGTTCTCAGGACTTGGTCCGATAATGGTTGGAGGAACTGGAAGGTGAAAAGAAAAAGGCCTGTCAAAGAATTGTCCCTACTTTAGAGTATTCTGTACTTATTTAATGTGATACTTTAGAGTATTCTGTACTTATTTAATGCGATAAGGTAATAGAGAATGTCCAGGTGACTCACCATGAACGTTGACGTTGAAGGATTTGTCTGCACTTCCAGCCACATTTTCAGCAGCACACACATAACGTCCGGTGTCAGACACCTGAGCGTTTAAAACCTGAAGGTTTGAACACAAAACAATAAAATATAATTAAGCCAACACTGCCTTTAAGTTTCAGCTACCTATTTTTATATACATTTATTTCTCCTGATCAATGTGATTTCCATCTATCAGAACAGAGGTACCTGAAGTGTTCTCCCATTGGACAAGATTCTGTGCGGACCACCGGAGCTGATCGACTGGCTGTCCTTAAACCAAGTGATCTTTGGAGCTGGGGTTCCATCAACATGACACTCCAGCTGGGTAGTTTTGTTGACCAGGACTGTGACCTCGTCTGGTACATCGCTGTCAGCTCCACGGATGGATGGAGGCACTGATGCAGTGTAGCAAACACACGAGAAATGCTGTGAGTTTTATTTTACATGACTTCTCCTGAATCCCACAGACTGTATGGGTATCACTACTTTTACTCACATAATACTCTAACATCATACTGGATGGAGTCTTCTCCTGCTTCGTTGACGGCCACACATGTGTATCTGCCTGTATCTTCAGCCTGTGCTCTGGGAATCTGCAACACTCTCCCGCCTTCATTTAATAAATAAAAATTCCATCATCATTCACATCTTATCTCTGTTTCTGCCTTCATTTAATAAATAAAAATTCCATAACCATTCACATCTCATCTGTGCTTCATTTTCTTCTATGATTCTTTCTACTTATTTTATTTATTTGTTTAATAATTTATTTATACCTGGTAGAATCAGAACTTTATCATTAGAAGTGAGCATCCGTCCATCTTTGTACCAGGTCAGTGTAGGAGGAGGGACAGCGTTGCTCTCACAATACAGAGACAGAGGATTATTGAGGATTACATCGCGAACATCTCCTCCAAGGCCCGGGACAGAGGTGCTCTCACCAAGACCCTGAGGCCTGTGGAAATTGGGTGGCACTGAAAAGATGAAAAGAAAATATTCAACAAAAGTTGTGCCGCTTTAAACACAGTTTGTTTCATGATCCTCCTCTCATTTATCATGACCATTTTGTGGGTCTTTTCTTATTAAAAACCAGCAATGTGCAGCTTTGATATTGCAAGTTTAAAACAAAAAAACAAAAACAAAAAGACTACAAATGGTCTTAAATGTGAATTAACTCATTAACATCAGCCACTCCAGTTCACCTTGTATATTTACATCAAAATCCTTCTCATCTTCTCCTGCTATATTAGTGGCTATGCAGGTGTAACGCCCAGTGTCTGACACCTGAGCGTGCTTGATCTGAACAATGCGGCCGTTGGCTGTAATGGACACGTGATGGTCTGCCTGCAGGATCTGCAGGAGAAGAGTGGAGTCAAGAGAGACGGGATTCAGAATTAAAATGACACTGTACCATAGTGAACAAATAGAAACAGGAGGCAGAACATGTACCTGTCCATCCTTGTACCACTGCAGTGCTGGAGTGGGAATGGCCTCAGCCTCACACTCCAAGGTCAACGTGCTATTGACCTTGATCTTGACTTCTTTGGGAGTCAGTCCTTCCCCTGGGATATCATTTTTATTGATCTGTGGAGGAACTAAAATATAGAACCGAGTAATTGTATGTATTGTAAACATCTCTCAACTCTCTGTAACCATGGATGATACATGTGGTGTTCCAATAAATACTGCCAGAAATCGGACTAAATCTTCTTACCATAAACCTTGACCTCATAGTGCTTCAGTGTCTCTCCGGCCTCATTAGTAGCCACACAGGTGTATCTCCCAGCATCCTCCTCTTTGGCATTAAGAATCTGCAGGGTTCGTCCTCCTGTCAGATCCACACAGAGTCATGATGTTGTGTCTTGTTTCCTTCATTACAACTACTTTGTTATTTGATTTATTACAATATCAAACCTGGTAGCACCCTAATGTTGCGCCTGGACTCGAACACAGTGCCGTCTTTGAGCCAGGTGATAATTGCAGGAGGGTAGGACTGGACTTCACACACCAGAGAGGTGGGGTTACTCAGCGTCACTGTTACCTCCTCTGTAAAACCCTCAGGAATCAAACCAACAATGGTGGGGGAAACTGCCAGAAAAATGGTAAAAGAAAACCAAACTGAACTTAAAGTACCAATGACATTTATTTGTAAAACAGTTATAATCTGACTGAGTGGATTTCCCTGTACCCAGGACATTGAGGTTGAAATGCCGACTCCTGTCTCCGGCGCTGTTGGAGGCGTGGCAGCTGTACCTGCCCGTGTCTGCAACCTGGGCCCCAGAGATGTGGAGGAATCGACCATGAGACAAAATCTGATGTCGACTGTTAGGAAGCAGCAGCTGTCCATCTTTCAGCCATTTGATCTCTGGTACTGGGTTCCCTGAGAAATCGTGTGGACAGGTTAAAGGTCAAATAATGTTTCTTCAAATCGTGTGGACAGGTTAAAGGTCAAACAATGTTCTGTCATCAGCTGCAAGACTTTGCATTTCATAACTAACCTGATGCTTCACAGGTGAGAGTGATGTTGTGTTTCTCCTTGACTTTTGTGTCCACAACTGTTCCCTCCTTAACAATACTTGGTGGGACTGTTGAATTAGACCAGAATTCAATTAAATGATTCTTATTTAGAAACAAACAAATCTCTAAAATATCAATAATATATTTTATTATTTTAAAGAAATAAATTGTCCAACAAGAACAGATTAAACAAAAAAAGTGAGGCATCTTGGTCCTAATGAAAAGAAATTATAAAATCACTTTACCGAGGACGTCAATATCAAAGGTTTTCTTTTCCTCTCCGGCGCTGTTAGACACAATACACGTATATCTCCCAGCATCCTCCACGGAAGCGTGCATGAGGCGCAGACTTCGTCCTCCTACAGATTCAACAGAGCACCTACTTTTATTTAAGTTTATTTGGTTTGTTTTCACACAACGCAAACCTCCCAAAAATGTGTTCACAGCTGGTTTAAACTGAATGGGCCAAATTAAGAGAACTGAATAAATCAAGAGAAGGAACCTGGCTGCTCAGACTCACAGCTGTTAAAACATCTTACCGTCAGCTGTGAATGCTTCAACATTTCAGAAACAAAATTTGTGAGAAAGCAAACAATTAAAGGACACTGTGTAATTCATAATCTGCTAAAACTTCAACTACTGTAATTGGAAACACAAATATTATCGTCTTTCCAACACATGCTTTCTATCAAATGGAAGACGACAGAACAACGGAATTTATAAGCCCTGAAATCTATCTATCTGTCGTCATATAACCGAAGCTTCCAACGGCCTAGAGTTCAAATTGCTACCATTACTACTTTTTGGGGAATTTCTTTGATTCACTTTTTTTCAGGATGTTAGGTTAGATTTACGTTAAACCAAAAAAATGTGTGGGAGCAGACCTGACAGGATGCGAACAGAACTGGTAGCTTTGATTGGTCGACCGTCTTTCAGCCAAGAAACAGCAGGAAGAGGGATTCCTGAGGCCTCGCAGTTCAGTGCTACTGGGTTCTTCACAACTACACTCACGTTCTCTGGCACCTGCATCTGACCGATTATACTGGGAGGAACTGAGACGAGAGAAAAATGAATAAAGATGACGTTCATAGCTCTGAACCAAAAATAAATTAGAAAGAAAAACAAGATAAAAGCCATAAATACCGTTTACGCTGATGTCGTACTTGCTGTCGGCCTGTCCTGCTACATTAACAGCGATGCAGGTGTAGCGCCCTGTGTCTGACACCTTGGCATCTTTGATCTGTAACAACTGCCCCTCGTTTAGGACTTTAGCACCATGATGGCCGGTAACCGGACGTCCATCTTTAAGCCATGTGACTGCTGGTCGGGGCACACCCTCTGCAGCACACTGCAGGGTCACATTCCCTCCACGGGTCACAGTGACATCCTCAGTGCTGCCATGTTTGATGGACGGGCGAACTAGGTGGAGGAATGATAGCAAAAAAAATGTCTACAACACTTGCACAAGTTGTACGGTTTAACCTGAACCTATGAACTATAAGTATCATGATGATATTATATAATGTGCTTTTCATACCATAGACCTGCAGACTGTACTCTTTAGAACTGGTGCCGGCTGCACTGGAGGCCGTGCAGGTGTAAGAAGCAGCGTCCGTCCTTTCGGCGCTGGAGATCTGCAGCTGTCGACCTCCAGACAAAACTCTGACCCGCTGGTCGGACTTTAGCTCATAATCTGTGATAAACACACATGTGACTCAGCGTTGTGAGGTCCAGACTCGTCATTATCTGCCAAGTGTTTAGTGCATCATCTGTCAAGTATGTGTCACTGATTAAATCACACATTTACCGTCTTTTCTCCAGGACAGACTCGGAGGAGGAATCCCACTGGACTCACACACCAGGGTAATGAGACTTCCTTCTGTCACAGTCAGACGTGTCACCTCCTCTGAACCATGGATACTGGGAGAAACTGCAATAGGGAAATCCCAACAATAGGGGGCGCACACATTTCAGTAAAGAACAATGGTGTTTTTTTATGTCATTTAATTTTATTCATTTACTTTGAGGAAGTAAATAAAATACTGCTAAAACAACCAGGTTAAATTACGGTATAGATTTAGAGTAAACAACACAAAAGAACACTAAGAATTTCTTGTTTTAATAATTGGTTCAACTAATTCTCACTGGATGAAAATAAAACCTTGATGCAAAATAAAGTAAACTCACTCCAAACATTGAGATTATAGTTCTTCTCTGTTTTTCCAGCAACATTCGTGGCTTCACAGGTATATCTGCCCGAATCCTGCACCTGGGTACTATCAATCTGTAAAAACATGTAAGAAAATAATTTGCACTAATTCTCTATAGCATTATTTTATTTTCAGAATGAATCAAGTGGACCGGAATACAACCCTGAGGGGGCTGGCCTTGGACCACGGGCCATATGTTTGACACCCTTACTCTTGGACCACGGGCCATATGTTTGACACCCTTAATCCTGGCCCACGGGCCATATGTTTGACACCGTTAATCTAGACATTGTTTGATCAAATGTGCTAATTCATTTCCTACTGACAGTAATATGTGAGCAATACATCAGCATTGTTGTGTTTTCCTTTCCAGTAAATATTAATCATCAACTAAAAAATTTGTTTTCCTTTCCAGTAAATATTAATCAATATATTAATCATCAACTAAAAAATGAAATAAAGAAAAATAGAAAAATGTGAGATGTACTGTAGGTCAAATAATATCTCCCATTTTTTCTGACCATACCTTCAGCAAACTGCCGTCATCTAAAATGGCCAGACCAGGCTTCCTGAAGAGAGGACTGAAGAGAGGACGGCCGTCTTTACGCCAGGACAGGGTAGGAGGAGGGACAGCATCGCTCTGACACTGCAGATCCACCGACTGCCCCAGCATCACCGTGGTGTTCACCTCCTCACCCTTGATGTTTGGAGGAACTTTGGAAGACACAGTGAGCGCTCACTGACGGTGAGGATTTTGACAGACTACATCATCCGACACGTGAATGGTCCAAACATCACAGTTGATTTGGACGCTCTTGGACATCAATTGCCTTTGAAACTAAGCTTTTAATCCACTGAGAGGAACGCTTGTTAAATTACCTCACAAGTGAAAAGAGTAATTGCCTCCTGAGACACAACGTCTGTGTTGTGTTGAACATCTGGTGTCCTTTAAACACTAATTCTATCTCTGGCTACGGCAGCGGCATTTAAACAGTGCAACATTTGTTTGTAGTGTGAACAATCAGGGTAGCTGCTGTTCCAAGAACCTCATGATACAAACAAACATTTAGAGGAGGTCTTCTCTTAGAATATGACATGACATCAACTTCATGTCCCTCTGTAGTCCTTCCAGTCCCGTGTTCATAAGGATTTCATGATGCAAACCTGACCTAATCTAGAAAATAACTTCAGAGCAATTTCCTCTGCATTATGGTTATTGGGCAGAAAAAAGCAAGTCGTTAAGAGAGGACGGAACCAGACACAGGAAGCCTCAGCAGAATGGTAGCAATTACCACAACAAATCTGTCTTCCCTTCTCCCTGAGAAGTTCCTCTTTCTAAAATGAACCCACATCATGTACACGTTTGTATTCTGCGTATGTATGTGTTTTTTATAAACAGCGCATCTCCTGTTACCTCCTGGACGTGAACTTCTGGTTTAACATGTATAACAATTGCTCTGCCGTCAAATCAGATGATGTGAAGGAAAACTGACAAGGTTTATGGGTCGGCTAAACCGAGTCAAATTATACGCCCTCTAAATACAGATGTTTTGCTGAAGGCCTGTTTCAACATTTTTTTTTTTTTTTGACTGATCATGTTCTGTCCTGGATCTGCAGCTCTGTTGAAAGACTTACTACAGTTGGCCTTAATCATGTGTGAGTAGAGCAAGAAGTGCAAGCAGGAAAATGCATTAAACGGAGGGGTTCAACAGAAAGAAGAGCGATGAGTGTCAGGAATCCATACAGTTGAGAATTGATGTCAGATTTGGCTGAGAGGGAATTCTAACTCGCTTGGTTACAAAACAAGGAAAGCTGAGAAAAGTCAAAATAAACATTGACTTTTAGAAATGGATTTGTTGGATTCTGGAACTGGAAAGAATCTAAGGTAGTTTTAAAATCTGAATGTTTTATTATTCATAGTTGATAGATTGTGCTTGACTTACCATACACTCTCAGATCATAATCTCTGTTTTGTTCTCCTCCAGCGTTGACGGCCACACATGTGTATCTGCCCGTGTCACTGACCTGAGCACTGCTTAGTGACAAAACCCTGCCTCCAGATAACACCTAAGAGTGAGAAGGAAGCAGATCTACAGTCAGATCATGAAACAGGAGCCAAACTGAATCCAAGTTGATCAAACAGTACCTGAATGCCATGTGACACACTCGCCACAGGGCTGCCATCTTTGAGCCAAGTGAGGCTGGGTAGAGGAACACCAGTGGCCTCGCACTCCAGTCTGGCAGCTTCATTCACCACCACTGTGACCGTCCCACCTCGACTGGAAATGATCGGTGGGACTGGGAATGATCAAATCAATCATGATTCAGCTCACATCAGTATTACATCAGACAATTTGTTTCAGAAGAACAACAACTTGATGAGTGTATAAAATAATTAAAAAAAAAAAAGAACTGGGCTCGTTCAATCTCCAGCACCTGTCCACGCTTCAGAAGAGTCACTCCTGCTGCACTAGTCACAGGCCGTCCATCTTTATACCAGGTGATGGCTGATGATCAATGGCATGAAAAAGAACCATTATCAATTCATGTATAAATGTTGACGTACAATAACTGTACAACACAAAAATAAAAAATAATAATGTAGCATGAAACTATTCTTCTTTGGTTTAGAGGTAGAGCAGATGTGTGAACTTCAGATGCAATAAAAAGGAAAAACAAAAAATGATGCCTCCTCTCTGGGACAGATCCACCCATAAATGAGTATTTTAAACATTTAATTGTCATGTAATATGGGCAGATTTGTATTATGCTATAATTATGTCTTTAAAATGCACAGTGTCATCAGACCGAGGTGCTGACTATTGCTGCAGTGTGACTTCAGAACACTGAGCCTCTACACTCTTCATCAGAGTGGAAATCCAGGCAGTGAAAGTGATAGAAAGTGAAGTTGCCTGCGGGGAGCCATCTGAGATCAATTTTCCGCTGTTGGTCAAATGGTTAAAGATAAGGAAAAGTAGCGAGCGGCTCCATGCCCAGCTCCAGGAGTCCGTGGAAACTACACGATCTGAACGGTGCGCGGCAGGATGGAATGTGACATTTGTGACCGTTCTCACCAGGTAATGGGCTGCCTGTGGCCTTGCACTCCAACTCTGTGGAAAAGCCCGACAGGATGGTCTGGTTGATGATCTCTCCAGAGTAGGGGATGCTGGGAGGCTCTGAGATAAAAAAATAAAAACCATTGTTTAGCCAATTCTCTCACGTCTCCACCTAGTCCCACGCTATAGAAGAAATTAGAGACGGAGATGAGCGAAACAGGGGATTGAAACGCTGCTGTGTTTATGTCGAGGTTACCATGGACACTGAGACGAATGTGTTGTTGAGCTTCACCAGCTGCATTCGTGGCCAAGCAGGTGTATTTCCCAGAATCCTCCAATTGTGCCGCTGTGACCTTCAGTATTCGGCCTGCAGACTCCAGCTGTAATATATATAAACATCTAAGCAGCTGGATAATCTGTCAATCAACCAATTTTTATGTGACTTGGTTAAAGTTAAATGTCCGACCTTCAGGTGGTCCTGTGTTGTGTCCACTGGTCGTCCATCTTTGATCCAGGTGATGCTTGGAGGTGGGATGCCACTGGATATACATTCCAGGCTGATGGGTTTGTGGAGAACCACCGAGCGCTCGGCAGGTCCAGTGCTGCGGATGGATGGAGGGACTGGGGAAGTGAAGTTCATGGTCAGAGACGTTCTTAAAAAACAAACCACAGCTTTCTCTGCTGTCAGTGACTTCCACTGCCCACCTTTGATAGATACTGACCTCTACAGGCAGGGGGGGACACCCCATAGGAGCTGCAGTTATTTAAAGATAGTCTGACCCACTCATTTAGTCATTAGTATTTGGACTTAAACTAGCTGAAGTGGAAACATTTCATTGTCACATTATCTGGGTGAAATCCAAACACAGCGTTATCTGGTTTTCATTATCAGAGAAAAACAAACCAATAAAGATTCTTACCAATATTACATAATTATGCAAATAAAAACTGATATTATATCCATGGGCTGATATTATTGGACATCCCTAGTATACACCTGACCTATGAGAAGTCATGATGTTATGGCTCATCAGTGTGACTGTTGCATTTAAATTTTAGATCACATTTAATACAAACGTATCAGTGTGGAATGAAACTTAACATCCTGGAAGCATTTAATTTTTTTTTTACCATGAACAACCACGTTAAAATCCCTCTCATGGTCTCCTGCATCATTAGTGGCCACACACTGAAACCGAGCCGTGTCAGAGACCTGAGCACGAGACACGATCAGCCGTCGACCGCTGGACGCCACACGCAGCCCTTCTCCGTGTCTGACCTGTTTTCCATCCTTGTACCAGCTGAAAAAAAACAAACCCCAGCAGTCACAGAAAGTGTTTTAACATTTACCCCTGGGTGTGTGAATCTGTGTGTCTGTGTGTGTGTGTGTTTGCCTGTTTTGTGGTTCTTACGTGATGACAGGTGGAGGAGTTCCTGTGGCTTCACACTCCAGCTCCAGGGGTGTGTTGAGAATCACTCTGACATTTGTTACATCCTCAGCTCCATCAACAAAGGGTGGAACTAAAAGAGCAGAGTTCATTTTGTTAACAAGCGTTTTGTGTGTAAATATTTAAGGGTGGAACTAAAAGAGCAGAGTTCAATTAGTTCAGTTAACAAGTGTTTTGTGTGTAAATATTTAAAAACGCAGTGTTATGTGGAGCAGTGGTGCCTTGGTGGTTAAGGAAGTGGATTTGGGTTTGGAAGGTATCAGGTTTTTCAGAAGCTCAAAGCTCACTTTGGTGATGGGTTAAAAGCAGAGGTCACATTTCCTTGTGTGTGCAGTGGTGTTGTGTGGTTGTTCACTTCCACTTTCACTTTCACTGTCACACTATGCATTATTTGTTAAAAATATATAACTTCCACTTTCACTTTCACTGTCACACTAAGCAGTTATTTGACAAAATATTCCCGTAGTACAACAACATTACTAAAAACGTGGTGTAATAGATTACAGTTTTTCAAATTTAAGCATATCAGAAATATTTAGAGCACTGCTAAAGCTACAGGCAGCGCTGACTCTGAATAAACACATTAGTATGCGTGACTGGGCCTGAGCTGTGGCTGAGCGTCAGTGAGCTAGCAGCTCCTCCTACGTCACAGGCACACAGAGCAGAGCGTGACTGTTTTACATTCCAGTGTGGGGGAGGGATTTCAGAAGGTTGTCGTGGCCGAGTGGTTAAGGCGATGGACTAGAAATCCATTGGGGTCTCCCCGCGCAGGTTCGAATCCTGCCGACAACGTTTCCTATTGTTTTGTCAGCTGTTACCGGTTGTTGAGTTAATGATCTACACTTGACATGCTTTTCCTGAGGCAGTGAGACCGGTTGAAAGAGATTACTTAAGAGCACTGCTACACAAATGTCAACTAAAGGCACGCTCGCCTGGGAAGGACGTTAGAAGAAAGAACTGTGGATATGAACAAGCAAATTATTCACAGCAATGACTCAAATATGTGTCATCACGGCTATATCTAAGCCTGAGTCCTACCAGCCTGCAGAGAAAACTCCTCTCAAAGTCTACCACTCTAAAAATACTATAAAAACTAAACAAAACTTTATCCTCTGCAAATAATAATTTAAATAATACCAAAACATTGTGTGTGTTTTTTAGTACCTATAACTCTGACGTCATACATGACCTCCTTCTCCCCAGCGATGCTCGTAGCCACGCAGACATAACGCCCAGAGTCTGAGACGGTGGCTGAGATGATTTCTAATTGTCTGCCTTGCTCCAGCATGCGTACGCTTTCACCGTCATACACGGGAACGCCATCCTTCAGCCATGTGAGGGAGGGGGGAGGGTGTCCTCCAGCCTCACAATCCAGGATCAGAGCTTTACTGAGGGTCACTACTCTCTCAGCTGGTCCATCTTCTCCACCCAAAATAGTGGGAGGCACTGTGGGGAGGAGATGTTATTTTACATTAGTATGAGCTCGATTTGAATTTCAATGTTTGAGTGTAATTACAAAAAGTGGCAGCCGAGGGCTTTGAGGGTGAAGTGAAAGTAGCTGTAAGTGTGGAGCTCTTACAGAAAACATCCAGGGTGAAGGCCTTCTCAGCGCTGCCAGCCACACTGGTCACTCTACAGGTGTACAGACCAGCGTCCGAGGCCTGTGCATGTGTGATCTTCAGGTAATGGCCTCGCTCCACGTACTGAGTTTGTCGGCTGGACAGGACGGCTTCTCCGTTTCTGTACCAGGTGATGGTGGGGGCAGGGACGCCGCGAGCCTCACATTCCAGTGTTACTACTGTGTCCTGCAGGGCGGTGACCTCTGTGGTGAAGTTCCCTCCTTTTATAGACGGCGGGACTACGGGGTGACATGGTTAGACTGTCAGCAGTGGAAATATATTTTTTATAAGATATTAATGTACAGGTTAGACTGTCAGCAGTGGAAATATATACATATATTTTTATAATATATCAATGTACGTACAAAACAAAGCACACACTCACCATAAACACTGAGGTTGAAGTCTTTGGTCTGTTTCCCAGCTGTATTCACCACACTACACTGATACCGAGCCTGGTCCCCAAGGCGAGCACTTTTGATTCTTAAAACCTGACCTCTGTTGGTGACCTCCAGATTTGGATCACCAAGAAACACCAGCCTGAAAAGGGCAGAGTTTATGGTTAGAAAACATTGGATTATGGTAGTCTTCTATGAAAATAATGTTGGGTGAAATACTTACTTCCTGTCCTTGTACCACTGGATTGTAGGAAAGGGAACTCCCTGCACCTTACACTCAAAAATGATCTCCTCTTTGAGAGTGGCGGCGACATCTTTGACAGGCTCAGAGCCCACAATTATTGGCGGGACTGGAACACAGGAATATAACAAAGAAGAATTATAAAAACTAAAGTCTTAGACCAAGCAAATAAAACATTTCTAGCAGAACATCAATAGCAAGCCCTTTTTTCAAAAAAACACAATGTTAGGATAAAATACCCTTCTGAGTTATAAAAAAAAAATCATTAGAGTTCAATGAGGTCTCCTGTCGGCCTTATCTGGCTCCTGGGTCGTGTCTTTGACAGTCGTGGTTTGAATGAGAGGTTTATCTATTTTGGCATTACCATAGAAATGTTACTCACCCAGAACATCCAGGAAGAAATCTTTCTCTTTGCTGCCAGCTATATTAATGGCTTTACAGCTGTAGCTGCCTGCGTCTGCTGTGTCTGCCTTCAGTAGTGTCAGGGTTTTCCCACCATCGAGAATTTGGATGTTGTCACTAGCAACTACCTGTGGATCAAAACAAAACACACACACAAAAAAAAGCTGAGAGACAGAAAATTACGGGGTGAAACTGAGAGACATTAACGTGAAGGGTATAACTCCAAAAAAAAAGTAAGCTTTTAATTTAGAGAGAGTTTACAAACGAAAAAAAAAATTAACTGTATGAAAAAGGCTTTTAATTTAGAGAGAGTTTACAAACAAAAAAGAGAAAAAAATTAACTGTATGGAAAAAAAACTAAATAGGATTTTGAACGACACCCAAAGCCAAAACTATTCAGAGAGAAAAAAAAAACATTTCAAATTACTTATAATTAACCAAATAGAGGAAGAGCATCAATTCTCCTGTCTGTATCTTGCAGGAAATGAATAAGGCAGTCAGGACAATTAAAAGCAGCCAAGTCAGTCAGCAGATTCTGTGCAAACTCCCTGTTCTCAAGTCAATTCATCATCATTATTTAGTCGTTACGTTTTTAGTTAGCATTGCCACCAAGGCTGGTATCAAAGGTCTGTGTTACACACCAACGTCATACACCACAGAGACCAGAGTGGTTTACAGTTGGCTGTCTTGGCCCAAGTTCATTCAGTCTCCACAGGCACCGATTAATAAAAGAAAAGGTCATTTTGGGAAGATGAAGATGACTCACTGTATTAGACCACAGTTTACGTGTGGGTTATGGAAATGATTAAGTGGCATGTTACTTAATACTTCGACTGCGTCTTTGATGTGAGTACAGAGAAGAAAGTGGGTCTAAAAACGGAAATGTGGTTTCTCTGGAAGTTGACTCTGGGGCCTCTTCAAACTGGTCAAAAACAGTCGAACTTGAATTGAAAAATTGAACTTTAGACTGTGAATTAATTTTAATAAGCAATTACCTATGGGAATCGTGGCATTAATGTAAGCCATTTCAGATTTACTGTACCAACCCACTGTACCTTATTTAAACGTATTGGCACAGACAAAATAGCATCCACTTCAACAGTGATGTTGCTGTAAATTTTGAGTTTTTAAGATCAAACAATCATAAGCTTTAAGGTTTTGACCCTGATTGGAGAAGATCATTATCATTGTTGGGTGTTTCACTTACGGGAGTCTCATCCTTGTACCAAGTGATTACAGGAGTTGGACTTCCTGTGACGTCACACACCAGGTTGGTAGGTTGGCTCAGGACCACTGACACATTTCCTGGTGTTTCGCTGCTATGGAAATCTGGGGGGACTGTGGAGGAGCAAGTTCAGTTCCATTAGACGGACTGTTAGTTTGTTTGTTGTCAAAAAGACGAATCAAATGAACAGCTAAATCACCGTTGACTTTGAGCTGGTATTTCCTCTCTGTGGACCCAGCATCATTGGCAGCAGCGCAGACGTACTCTCCGTTGTCCAGTGGTGATACAGAGGTCAAGAGCAGCAATGTACCATCCTCCAGGATGGACACACCGGGCTCATTCCCAGTCAGTTCCTGGCCATTGCGCAACCATCGAATCACTGGCTTCGGAAAGCCTGGGAGGAACGTGTTAAAATACAATCATCCATTCCATGTTCTTTATGAATCTGTTCATTTGTAATTATATCCTAATTTGACACGATGGAAATCAGCAAGTTCTGCTGCTTGCTTTGGGACAGCGCCACCATCTCTTTTCCACACAAATATAGTGTCCAGTGAAATATTAAAATGCAGCAGAGTCGTTTTGATTAAACCCTCAACCCAACTTAATAGTGATGGAAATTATTTTAACCAAACCTTTGGCAGGACACGGGAAGGCAATCCTCTGGTTGGCCACTCTCTCCTGCAGAGGACTGTTGAAGGGAGGCTCCAGTATCTCCACCACAGGCGGCACTGAAGGCATGAACAATCGCAGATATTACATGATATGCTAATATCCGGCCGATATTATCAGACAACCCTAAAAAATATATGTTTTGAAACTATATTCATCAAAAAAGTACAGACTGAACCAGACATGCTGGTGGTGGGTGACGTGCACAGCCCCTGCATTAAAATCCAACCTTGCACTAGAAGCTGAACTTGTGCTTCATCTCTGCCTGCAGTGTTTGTGGCCGTGCAGGTGTAGGTTCCCTCGTCATCCAGTCCCACGTGTTTCAACATTAGGCTGCCATCGTGCGACACAGCAAAGCTTTTCCCATCCTTGGTCCAGGTCAGAGTCGGCTCTGGGAATCCTCTCACCGCACATGGCAGCTCCACAGGGAAGCCCACCTGTACCTTCATAACCCTGGGGCCAGCCTGTATACTTGGGGGCACTGCAGCACAAACGGAGAGATTTACGATCAATATCTGATCTGTTCCCCGTTTCTCTCACTGATAGGATTTGAAGACCTTTTACCTAAAACACTAAGCTGGACAGACTGCGTGAGGTTTCCAGCGATGTTGGAGGCAACACACACATACAGCCCACTGTCTGAAGCTCTGGTGTCCAAGATCTTCATAGAACCAGAGGGAAGCTGAGTGTGTCTGGAAGAAGGAGGAAGATAAATTCAGTGCAACAGTTTATGCTTCAAAAAGCACACACACACTTGTTTTGTTTTTTTCCACAATATTTAAATTGTCAGGAGAGACTCCAACAATTCTTTCTAATCCAGCACCGACCACAATTACAGCTGCAGCAGGAGGTGCACAATTGTAACCAAGGATCACAGTGAAACCCTAAGGCTGCAAACAGTCGACAAACAGCAGACAGCACAGCCATCCAGATCCAGTGTGACGCTTTTCCTACATGTCTCTCACTGGGAGATTCATGCCAGTATAATAGGAGTTTGCCTTCAGTTTAGTTATAATCACATACATTAAATGAGTGAAGTGTTCACCACGTGTGGTGCAGTCTGTGCAAATGGAAATGTCTGTACAAAAACTGACACCTGGGAGAGAAAGGGGAGATGAGCTGCCTCTCTTTGGCCCAGCTGATGGTGGGAGGTGGGACACTGAGGACATCACATGGCAGAACTGCGTCCTCTCCTTCAATTACAGACATCTTCGTTGGCTCTGCAGAGGCTCCAGAACCATCAGCACTGGACCTGGGACGGACTGAACAAAGGTTCATGGTTGGGAAAAACACAAATGATTAAATGCTATGCTATAAATTATAAAATGCTAAAATATAAATAATATAAAATGTGATACACATTTATAAAAAACTTGGGACATGCCGGATGAATACAACTAAATAAAATGATACGACCGACATAAAAAATGGTAAATCTAAATATAGTAATAAACGTTAAGCCATTGTATATGCAGCTTTACTAGCTGCGCTAATTAGCATCCGCTAGCCACGTATTACGCAGAGCGGGCTCGGTGCGAGGGAACAACCTGCCGCAATTAATCCATATTTCAAGTAGGATTCCTGGAATTGTCTGTTAAATGCAGCTTTCTTTTCTTTGAAGACCTAGACTCTCTCTCTGTCAACTCATTGGCTCTTTTACGCTGCGCAGATAAACTTTCCAAATACGTTTGTTTTCTGTTCATTTTTGCTAGCTTGGCGGTTTCAACTTAGCGTTAATTGCGTTGCGTTAGCGGCCGGAGTAGACCCTTTAAGAAGGTAGCGGATGTAGGTAAGACATGTGACACAAGCGCGCATCTTGATACGCAGAGAGAATCCGGTAATTTCTTTCAAAATAAAACATAGTTAAGAATCAGATAATTTAAAAAAAACGGAAATAGTGTACGTTATGCATTCTTTCTCCGCGACCCACGGACCGGTGCCGTCATTCGATGGTTGCAGACTCACCATACACAGTCAACTGGACCTTCCTGGTAGCATACCCAGCAGCGTTGGTCGCTGTGCAGATAAACTCTCCGGTCTCATTTCCAGAAGGGGAGTTGAGGTGCAGGCTGCCATCAGAGTCCAAGGAGAAGTGGGGACCACCCAAGTACAGCAACTTTCCGCCCTACAAAAACAAACCACGGCAGAAAAACAGCAGGGCATAAAGGTTTATTCATTAAGTATTTTATTTATTATTACTTCACATGATGCCTTAGAGAAATTCAAAACCGCAAAGTGGTTTTTCTGCACCGTGTTCCTAAATAAAAGATTTTATTAACTTCCCACTCCAATAAACCTTATTATAATTACATTGTAATAAGGTTAATGGTATAGTTACGATGGTCATGTGATGTAATTTCTTTGCATGTGACATATCTGTACTGTTTTTTTTTTTTTTTTTTTGTTTGTTTTTTGTCTGATTGCATGACCTGGGTTGATCAGTTTTATAGAGAGCAGCAAACAGATCAGAGGGAATCTCAATTTAACAGCTGGTGGATGATTTAGTAGAGTTTGGTTTCATGTGTCCCTGCAGCACTGTTCACTTTAACAGCAATGCTTTTTACAACTCTGAGAAGCTGCAGGACGACAAAGAGGGTGGGACTGTCCACATACACTCTTTAAAATACAGTATCTGTTAAAAAATACACACAGGAAGTCCAAGAGATCTGACACCATCCAGTCCACACGGATAGAATTAACCTGCAGTGCAGCAAATGAGACACTAGGAGTGTTACTGTTCTGACGAATTCATGGTCAAATTCATCAGCTACTGTATTATACTGTATTGCCAAAAGTCACTAATTTAATGAGGGTCACGCTAAGGAATAAAATGACAGGTCCAAAAAGAGCTAGATATTTGTTAAGAATTTAACAGCACAAAGAAGCAGTAGAGATAAAGAAAAAGAACACATGAACAATCGAGTAATCCAGTTCAACCAGACCTTGGTCCATGTGATCTCTGGAGCAGGAACCCCACTGGCACGACAGGGCAGCGAGATGGGAGTTCCTTCGATTGTGGTGAATACCTGAGGGCCGTACTGGATAGTAGGAAGAACTGAAATCACAAAAATAAATAAAAGAAAGACAGGGTTTTTTTTTACGCTCATCCAAAGTCATGGACTCTTGAAAGAAGAAATGAAAAAGAACACAGCTAAAATTACCATAAACATTGACAGTAGTGGTGTGATTTGTGGCTCCGACCGCGTTCTCTGCCAGACAGGTGTAGTCTCCTGCATCGTCCAGCGTGACTCTCTCGATGTGCAGACTGCCGTCTTTCCTCACCGTCACGTACTGGTCTGACGTCACCTGACAAGTTGGAGAATTTATTACATGTCACGTTACAACGTGTGGTTTGATCATTTTAATCATGAAAGCAAAAAAAAAATTATTTTTACCAAGCTGTAGTCGTGCAGCCACTGCCTCTCAGGCAGAGGATTTCCAGCCAGTAGCACACAAGGCAGAGTCACCTGCTGATCCTCAATCACACTGAGCACAGGTGGACTCATCGCAATCACAGGCAGCACTGATAACACCGTGGAATAAAACAGTATGAAAAGAGAATGTTAGAAATTGACAGATTTTGTATAACATTGCGAACATCTATCTAGACCAGGGGTGTCAAACATACAGCCCGGTTGGGGTTATGATCCGGCTCGCTTAATGAATTTTAAAAATCAAGATCTATCTCATATAGTCTATCTGTCTTCAATAATGCTCTGTGCCGACACTGACATCACGATCTGCCTAAACAATACCTGATAGAGTTGTTTAGACCAGTGTTTCCCAAACCATTTTTGCGACCCAGTCCTTGGGAAACCTTTAACCTTTAACAGACATACTAGTGTGAACTTAATAAAACTATGGTAACAGCTACTAATTTACTATTTACAAACTGAAAAATATTTTGACTAGTCATGTCCATTCTTTTATTTTTTCCATTCAGTGAAAACACATGTAAATGTTGATGTGTTTCCTGCAGGAAGAATAGGGAATGTGATATTATTTCTGAGCAGAAATATTAGCCTTGTTAAACAGGGAACATTGTGATGTCATCTGAGAAATAATGGCCGCTCTGAGCGTCCTGAACACGAACACTACTGATGCAAAGACATTCAGACATATCGTCAGAATAAAAGTCCTGTCCCTCTGCAGTGGGCATTTACGGTCTCCGTGTCTTCTGTGTCAGTGTCGGCGGGGAACTGGGGCAGTCGGGCAGTAATACATGTCATCTGTGTGGCTCCACGCCCTCTAACCTTTGGCCCACATGTTAGCGCTGCGTTTGTTTCCTCAGCAGAGTCTCAGTGAAACAGGAACAGGGGGTTTAACAAGGCACATGTGTTCAAACACACCCACTGAAATGGCCTAATGAAATCACACTCCCATGTGAGACTGGAACTTACACACAAGTAACGGCTGAAAGCAAGTGTGTGTGTGTGTGTGTGTCTTCTGTCTTGGCTAACTGTGGATTTGGAAACACTAAGTCGTGTCAAAGGTTCTAGTTCACTGCACTTCCTTTGTCTTTGGATTTAACACTTTTTTTCAACCATTTTTTTTGAGACATTGAATCAACAGCATCTTTAACACTTTTTTTCAACCATTTTTTTGAGACATTTCATTCTGAAAAAACAAACAAACAAAGATCAAACCAAATGCGACTCTTACCCAGTCCAGTCACGGTGACTCTGGCCTGAGTCTGGATCTTTCCAAAGTGGTTGTGAGCCTCACAGATGTACACCCCCTCATCCTCCACCCACAGATCTGACAGCAAGAGAGAGAACACAGGTGTAAAAAAGGGAACCTTAATAGCACATGAAGCTGAAACAATTAATGGATTCATCTACACCAGTTATATATTTCCCTGAATGTTACATTAATTCCTCTGCTGCTAAACATTGGTTCTACTGTTGTGTTTCAAACACATCTTTATTATGATGCCAGGATTCATTCAAAGCTCAGAAGCGCTATTGTTGTTATCTGATACCTTTTTTGTAGTTGTTCTGGAATAAATTAATCATTTAAAATCATGTCTTTTTCACTTACAATTTTTTGGAAAATAATTGACAGGTGAAGCTACTGTATGATCTGAGCTACGAACTTACTGGTGATTTGAAGGCCCTCCTTGCTTTGTGTGATACTTCCTTGTGTGCGGGGTGTGTTGAAAAGGTCAACATAATCCTGTCTTCTCCAGGTGACCTCAGGCTCAGGATGACCCTGCACAAGGCACGGCAGACTCACACTGAGGCCAATGTCTGCGGCCACGTCTGAAGGCTCTCGTACGAACTCTGGTGCAGCTGCAGAAACAAAGCAAATTTTATATCTCAGGTTTAGAAAAATAAAAACCACTCGTCCCCCGAGTTGATATATTGATTAGATATTGCTTCTACAAATATATTTTTATTTATATCTTTGGTTTCTGTGCAGGAATTTTTGGAAGAAAATTGGAGAAGTCTATTTTTTCTGAATTTGGTTATGACAAAAATTTGATCTGGCTTGATCAGATCTAACCTGAATGTTACAGATGTTTTGTATTTATTCTAACAAAACATAGACTCTGATCTATGAACTATGTTTTCCAGCTAGACATGAGCTCATGAGCAGGAGAAGCAACTATTTATGCAAAAATAAACCCCTGCTGTCTCCTCCCTGAATTCTTCATTGAAAAACAGTTCTTTGTGTCAGCCCAGTTTAGTTTTAAAGTAAAAAAACTGGCTTAGACTCTGATTCGGACCCAGATGTTAAGACAAAGTAAATCCACTGGTTGATCATCTCACCTCCTACGTCCAGAGAGATCAGCCCTGAAGAGGTTCCTGCAGCATTGACAGCTACACATCTGTAACCTCCAGCATCCGTCTTCTGAGTGTCTTTGATGATCAGAGTCCCTCCTACGGCGTCTACCTCCACCAAGGCTGACGGATGTATCTGAGCATCACCTGAAATGCAAACACAAGTTTGTGTTATTAAGGAAAGGCTGCATTAGACACAACTTAGACTCCAGGACAATAAAAGTTCCTTTAGCTCCAAACTAATATTCTCCCAGTACTGAGTTACCTTTGTACCACCAGATCTCAGGCTGAGGAACTCCTGAGGCTGAACAGGCCATAACTGTGGTTTCTCCGATGCTGATCAGAATCTCACTCAGAGCCACAGTCACCACGGGAGATTCTGCGGAGAGAGAAGTTGGTTTCTAAGAATGTGAAGGAGGCAGCCCCAGACAGAGTCTGTCCTTGTGTATTATGTTGTTTTAAGGCTTTAGACATTAACAATATGCTCACCCATGTAAGTGACAGTGGATGTCGCTGTGTCTGTTCCAGCCACGTTGCTGGCCAAACAGCTGTACACACCTTCATCCTTCTGCTCCGTGTTTCTTATGACCAGTGAGCCGTCAGGACTCAGCCTCAGTCTAAACATGTCCCCAGTGACACAGGATGTGACTTAATGATGCAATAATTGCTTCTAAATCAGTGTTTACTCTCGCATTACAAATGTAAAAACTTTCATTTTCCAAACTGATTCGTTTACCTGCTGGAAGCTGTGATAAACATGTCGTTGTGTGTCCAGACCAGCTTTGGTGCTGGGTAACCACTGGCTGTGCATCTGATCTTCAAGTCATCGCCTGAGATGAAGGTCTGAGCACGAGGTTCAACGGAAACCTTGGGCAACTCTGAGGAAAAAGAGAAAAAAAGAGATATTTAAGGACCAGTGGATCACAGGTCGACCTGTGAGGGTTTGATACAACGCCTCTATTGGACGTTCAGTTAATTACACTATACAGTTACATTGGGTGACTTTCACAAGTGACCACTACTGGCCCATGGACCCCAAGTTGAAAACTTTGTGAAGTTATAGTCAGTGCTCAGCGAAAAAAGTAAAATAATGGTTGTGAAGTAATGAATGTAAACGAAGGTAATGAAGTAAAATTCAAGTCTTTGAGGTTGGTTTGATGCCCCGGCATCAAACCAACCTCACTGCCAACCTTTACAAGACGCCGAAACAGTATTTTACCCATAAATGTAAAGAATTCAACCTCAACCACAAAGTGAAACAGAGCATTAACTTTAACAGCGGGGGTACCAGGGAAAGTACTGCAGTTATGGTACTTTTACTCATAATGTGTGATGGTAAAATGTTCCCCCTCATTTCCCCTCCACCGGTGAAACAGAGAGGTGTATTTAATCCAGAGGAACTTTGGAATTTTCCAACTGATTCATGATTTGTACTTCACCCTGGAAGGACATCTTATCTCTGCCATATTCCCACAGTTAAAATCATCTCCAGACCTCGCTCATCCTGCAGTCGGAGCTTCAAACGTCTGAATAGACAAACAGGTATGAAGGAATGCACTTCCTCCTGCTGATGTGTTCACTTCAATCAACGGCGATGCCGCACTTTTTGGAAGATCTGCAGCGCAACTGCCAGATGACTAACAGGTCTGAGCATTGATTTTGATATATCACAGCCATGACAACAGACTGAAATACCTTCAGCTGACACTCCAAATAAACCATTTGTGTTATTGCTGCCCCAGGCTGGGCAGTTTTGTTAATAATAACAAAAAGACAGTCAAAAGGAAGAGCCTCCTGTTCTTCTTTTACAGCTCGGCCAAACTCTATACTCTCCAGCCTCTACCTCATGCAAGGTCATCATGCCCTGAGGGGGCAAGGACGCCTCTGAGTTCAGGAAGAAGTAGGTGCTTAGAACGAAGGACAGACACATTCCTTTCCCCCGACTCAGCAGCATGACCCATATGGTAGGTAAAGAAGAAATGTCTAACGTCTTCTGTCATTACGTTGTCTTTACTTTGCCCAAAAATATGATCGTTCAAAGTTATATCTCTAATGGAATTGCATTCTTAAGTTGCTTCATTTGAGCAAATGGGAACAAAAAGCTGACGTCTGGTGATTCTTGACACTGCAGTGAGTGATCGGTGTGGACAGAAGTCCCCCTGTTAAAAAGACAGGGACCTTTAAAATTTAAAGACTCATTGGGGACATGGACTCAGTTCCAAAGGTTTCAAACTAAGTGATGTAAGATGTCAGCAGACCTGACTCACTTCAAAGTCAAGCTAATGACTATCCTGGGGCTGAACGAGAGGTGTGTGTGTGTGTGTGTGTGGGGGGGGGGGGGGGGGGTGTACTGTTAACAGCTGTTAGGAAATACAGAGATTTGGCAAAAATGGAAGAAAACAATAGCAAGAAACTCTAAAAGTCACCTAACATGGATTTGCCTCTCAGAGACAACAGTTAATCCATGATTTCTGACATTTGAAAACAGTGATAAAAAAACAAAACACATTTAATCTGGATGAAATTATATGAGTTTAAGACTCATTATCTGATGAATGATTTCGTTTAAAGGCATAAAAGCAGTTCTGGTATTTTTAAGTCATTAAATCGTAAATCCTAATTATGAGATGAGCAGATCGAGGAGATTAGCTGCGCTAATCCATCCCATAATTCGACACAGATGCAGCCCAGTGTAGGATGTAATGTCCTTACTGTTGGTGAGAGTGTCTTCCATCTGTGCGACAAAAAGCTTCCAATTCAGTTTCAGTAAATGGTTGCAGTGAGTGGGGGGACGAGGGGGGGTTAATGAGAAGCAGTCTAGGAACAGGAAAGATTTACTTCTGCACTTCCTAATAATCATTTTTACAAATCCCAGCAAAGATTTGGGGATTTATTTATCAGATGCTGAGGAGAACGAAGACAGTTTAGCCATGGAGTAACGTTATTATAATGGCTTTAATGCAACAGAGGAAAACAACCATACAAACGTGCTCTGTTACTGACCTTGTACACTGAGGTAGACGCGCCCCGCAGTTCGGCCTCCTTCATTCACAGCCACACACTCGTACCAGCCTGAATGGTCGGGGTCCACGGAGGAGACCTGCAGAGAGCGGTTGCTCAGGATTTGCAGCCGTGGGTCCAGGTGGACATCGTGACCTCCTCTCAGCCAGGTGAGGTTGAAGTGGACTGTGCTGACAACACGACAGGTGAGGATCACACTGGAACCGGGACTTGCTGTCACGTTGCCCTCCACCGTGACGGCTGGAGGGGGTTCTGTAAAACCACAGAACAATGTAAAAGAAAGAGGTGAGATTATTTTAGTAGAAGTTTAATTTATTGGGTTTCCCCTAAGTAATTTGCGTCAACACCCATCAAGATCAGATTCACAGAGCGTAAAAAAACAAAAACATAAAATTCAACATGAACGTAAGAGCCGCACGTGGCCCCCGAGCCACAGGTTAGTCATGCCTGCCCTTCACCTTAGTACTTACTCAAACCCCTTTTTTTCCAGTACTGACTGGGAGTATTTCTGATGCTGATCCTGATTAGGAGCTGGGGAGGGAGAAGGGCAGAGGAGGTGAAGGAAGATAAGGGAGACATTACAGAAGCTTTGGCTCTGAAAGGCAGAGGATGCTGGAGATTTCACTAAAACTCCATGGGATTAGGATGATGTAAATTTGGCAGGTGATTGGGATTTATGTTCCCAGTTCTGTTTGTACAAGGGGAGACGCTGTCTTTCTGTGAAGATTTGAGGACTCTGGATAAGGAGGTGGATTGACTAAGGACTTAGAGGCTTTATATGTGGTTCATCTGGACAAACGACGGGCCTAAGGACACAGATGTATATTAAACAGACACTGCTCGGATTTTTCCCTCACTCTTCTGTTCCACAGAAAGTGCCTTTTAATCGTCTTATCCACCTCCAACCCTCTACCTTCTGTTTGGCAACCATCAGAGAATTGCTGCTCCAAAGAAATCCACAAGGCAAGGAGTTTTTTCCCCAAAGTTTGGATAAGGAGACCTTTACTGATTGGTTTGTACCCAGGCAGTATAAATTCTGGGTTGTCATCATGGAAACTGGTTCTGGTTGAAAAATAAAGGCACTGCAGGAAACTCTGGGAAGAGGAAAAAAAATCCACCATTTTGACCTAAGATGGAGGTTTAAATCACAGGATAACAAAAACGCAGTCCAGCTGAACATCACCCAGATTTATATGAAGAATGAACTTGCATTGAGACAGTATCACAGTTACTTTATCCTCACATGTGTTTTTTTTAAATATATAACTACAGTATATCGACCTGTGTCTCATTTTAATTGCATTAAATTAAATTAAATATTCAATGCAAAATACCAAAGTACATTTTTATATTGTACCTATTTCTACACCATAGCAGTGTTTCCAAAAGTTTTTTTTCTGGGGACCCATATTTTAAAAAGTCACAAACCTTTGCGGCCCATGTCAACAGACATTATTCTTAAACTCCTGGGAAACATGATGCGAGACGACTCAAAAAAAAAAAAAACTCCCACGACCCACCTGAGGGTTGCAACCCAGTCTTTGGGAAACAATGTACTAAAGTACACTGAGTCTACATTTGTTTTGAAGGCGACACCAAATTTCACAAATTTCATTTTTATTTGAAAATGTAAGCTCAGAACATCAGATCATGTTAAAACCACAAATTATGGATCAAAACTAAAGCCTTAGTACGAGTACGTACCTGAAACGTCCAGAAAAGTGCGAGCCCTTCCTGTCCCTGCACTGCTGACAGCAACACAGTCATAGTAGCCTTCATCCTTCAGGTTAACCTGGGCCATTTCCCATGATGCACTGTCAGATTCACTGGGAATTTAAAAAAAAATAGCATGGTCAGTTCATTAGTTGATTTCCCAGATACAGTTGTGACTGGCCCCACAAATAATCACAACCTGAAAAGGTGGCTGATAGAAATGTGGGCCAGATGTGAGGACATTCAATGAACTACTGTTGAAAAAGTCACCTGAAAAGTTGATCCGGTCCAAGTCGTTTCCCATCCCTGCTGAAGCGCAGCGTGAAGGGGATCAGACTCTCCACCTGGCAGGTAATGGCCCCTTTCTGAAGGTAGTAGCCTGGAGTCGTGGGTGGCATCATCACCTTAGGGGAACCTGAAACAGAGAATATACAGATATTATTTAACACAACGATGGCCAGATCTTCATTCAGAATATCATATTTTCCATCACAGACTGACCGGGTATGATGCTGGAGAAAGACACACTGGAGACTCGTTGGAACAGATAACCATCCTGGTCGAATCCCGTCACTCTCAGGAAGAAGGCCTCTTTGGGTGGAATAAACTCTGTGATGTTCCACAGACCGTATGGCTTACGTTCAGGGAAGTAACCAATTGGCAACGTTTTGATCACTTCCCCTGAGACGGACAAGAGCTCCAGCCTGTCTGGCCGAGCCAGAGGGGAGAGTCCGGTGGTGTTAATCAGGATATGAGTCGGAATTCCTGAAAGAAAAACAAAAAAGTTGACATGACATTTAAAACACAGTTGATTAACTGTTGCTCTGGAGCTGCAGGAATTAAGTGAAGATGACAGGTGAAGGGCAAACGTCCAACAGCTGCAGTGTCTTTTCTTTTTTACGATTTGGAAAGATTGACCTCACTGACCTTGAACTGGTCGACTAGAGGTCTTTTTGAAGTCCATTGTGGGTTTTCTGGAAAATCCAGCTCGGAAGTCAATGGTGCTGAGGCCAGAGATCCGGACGGAGTGTCTTCCATTACTGGAGGTCTGCATTAAAACGGAGGATAAAAAGATGGAGATTGGTCGTTGGTAACAACACAATAAAGATTGTTGATCAGTTATTTTTAATGTTTTTATGTTTCTGATATTTTTTGATGACTTTGCTTCATTTTTGAATGAAAAAAAAATCTTGATTAAGACTGAGAAAATTTATACCCCCCCCCCCCCGCCATGACACATCTGTGTGTCCCGACAGTCTTTGCTTTAAAATGAGACAACACTGTGATTGTCGTTGTGTAACCGCCTGTTGTGCACCAGCTCTCTCTGCATGTATAGACAAGACGCTCTCTCTCAAACACCGACTGTCAGGTCTCTCACACCTGAGCTTTTAAGACATCCACAGTTCAGAGATGACCCATTAGGGTTTGACATTCATACCTCAATTAAACAAACACCACCACTATAATCAGAGGAGGGGGAACGGCTCGTGCGGTCTTCATTGCACACAGAGTTCTTTTGAAGCTTTTCAGAAATCGAGACAGAGTAATTACAGTGAAGTACGGCCCGCTGAGAGGTGGAAACTCCTCACCTTCAGTTGATACCTCTGAGGTGTGACAAGACACTGAGTCACAGTACGCAGCCAGGCATGCAAACTGAGACAAGAACGCGTGAACGCTTGTGTTTCTTTAGAGAACTTCTCTCTGACACTAACTGTAATTCCTGAAGCGATGAAGCGACCACCAGAACAAAGGAGATTCAGCCTAACGTTAAATGCTAATGTCTGCAATTACAAAACACAATACCTGCCGTGGCCATCGAACCCGCCCTAATGGTAGACACTGAATTATCCCAAGTCTCCAGTTAGCTGTAAATGAGCCCATAATTAGGGGCGAGGTCCTTCAAAGGTCATTCTACTTTACAAAAAGAAGGGTCCCTGTCATCAATGCACTCATTTCCTGGTGTCACTCCCCTCTCGACAACAGTCACCGCAGGTCTGAGTCACACAAATCTGCCAGGATTTGGCTCAGAGGTCAGAAGGTTGACTTGATTCAGTCAAATAACAATCAATCAATATCAATACTTTTATGGCTCCCCCTACAGGGGAGGAAAAGGAAGCAGGGTACACTGTCTTTGTTGGACATTACCCGAAAATTCTAGGACGAAGAACCAACAGCTGTTGGCCCTTAAGATGTTTGCCTTCCTTCTCTTCTACAAAAATAAAGATACAGTATGGACATCAACTAGATTATTAGACAAACTGTCAAAGAGCTGACAAGACGGACCAAACAGTAAGTGTATGGTATAAAGCACAGAAACTGTTCAAATCTGCTGTCATGATTGGTCGAATTCTGTGTGACGTTAACTGCGGTTGAAAACACTCTGCACAAAATGTGTTTTGAATTGGCCTTTGTGTAAAACACTTGAAGACGTGGAAAGACCCCACTACTGGTACGTACTGTATGTCAGCACATAGTGAGGGTTAGGGTGCAAGGAAATCACTGTAAAACAAAACAAAACAGGATCACAGTGCCAGAGTGGAATGGATTCAATCCCTTTCCACACATGGTCTTTGGCTGGAGTCTCACTCAGGTTTGTCACAGACCATTAGTGATGAAAACCAGCGTGGCAGATCAGCAAACTCTGGCTAAAGCATTTCTCCACATTACTGTGGAAGTCCTGGGAAACACAGCTACAGATGACAAGGAGATATTTTTAGAATAGAAGCCAGATAGTGTTGTGGGGGGCGGGGGGGCAGTGGATGGAAAAGACAGTGTCCAGCAGGAGAAATGGGAAAAACACAGCACAGCAGTGGAGAGAAAGAGAAGCAGCACAGCAAATCCTGACGGGGTTTTCTAAAGGGAGAACGTTTCAGGAGGCGACGTGTTGAGAGGAAGATGCATCGAGCAAGAAGATACAGGTAGGGACAGGAAGTCATTAAAAAAGGACGGACCAAGTAAAGCAAGACGATGGGATGGAATCAGTGCCTCTCAAATGTTCCTCTACTGTATAACAACCACACTGAAGACTGAGAGCACATTCCTCAGCCAGACGTACACGACACGCTCTTTAGAAGGAAAATAAGAAGGACTTTGAACAGAAAAGTTCAGAGAAATGGGACGCAGCCAAAAGAACCCAATGTTAGCAATCAATCAAAAACTTAAAGAGCTCTGCCAGTGGGTCGCAGCACGCCCGGGGAAATGTTCTGCAGTTCTGCAGGTGGAAAAAGGGAAAGTCTGTTGTTTTTTACTGCTTTGTCAGTTTTTTTGTTTTCTCTGTGAATTGTGTGAAGCACTACACTATGGAACCACTAAAAATAAAAGAACACTTTATTGAACTCTGCTCTGTGTTCACAGCAGATCTGCTGCAACAGGCTGCCCAACAGGAGGCGCCAAGTATGTGGTTTTTCTGGGGCTCAAACCAAGAAGGAAAATGTATAGGCAGGTGTGACAACAGTAACCCTATAGAACCAGCACCATTTAAGTCCATACTGTAGGAGCATTAAATTGTAAACTGTAATTTAAATTGAAATGGAAACATAAAGAGAGTCACCTGATTGACAGGTCAAAGGTGAAGTCGACCAGAGATGAGAAGGAAACAGAGAATTCTGGGCAGGTCAGTGATGGGGAAGTCTCCACAAATGTGCAAGTCATCACACGTGCATCCACATTGTTAGCCAGTATTCACATACAGTGGGTAGCGCTAAATCATTAGCGTGCTAACACGAAACACAGCTATGCAGAAATTAGGGCGAGAATCCCAGCAGGGGTGTACAGAGAATACAGGGGCCACTGGGGCCCCCACAACAAATCACTCAGGTAAAAATGCTTGTCATTTCACAACATCTGGAAGTGACAGTGCGGGCAGTCAAATGTGTGACCTTTCTTTGCATTAGCTCAACAGCAGGGTGCCAGCGGTTGGGCAGCCGTGCCTTAACAAGGCCGAGCGTTGCGGGAGGTTGTTGTTGTTGACGGCAGTGGCCTTGAATCCACTTCATCCACCAGGATCACGGTCTCTAAATCACTCCAGGATCAAATGTGTCTCCCTGATCATGGTTTTGTTTCCTGTGTGATGCTTCCACCAGACAGCAGGCATGTTAAATGGATTACGCGTCGCTGTATTTTAACATGCTGATATATTACTGCAGTGATTCTGTTAAAAGGCCTTTCTAAAGGGCCCCGCTTCCTCCTGTGGTGTGAGTTGTGACCTCATTCCAAGGTTATAGCACTTAACTGTACAAAGTCATTTGTTATAAATGGACAGCTGAGTTCTGGGAATCGCCAGAAGACAGCAGCTTTACACACTTTTCCAGGTAGAGGATGACTTGTTTACCTTGATCGACCACATCCCAGGCTGTGGGTCCTTGATGTTGATAACTCTGGCCGAGTTGGGAATGTGTAAGAGTTCCGTAAGGCTGTCACCTTTCTCCACGACCTTCCCTGGAGGCCAAACGAGAACACTCAGACATCTATTCACCGTGACTGAGCCAGATTAATTCATAAAGGTAGAACATATGACAATGACTGAGAACAAACGGTTTCACCATTAACCTGAATACAGTGAATAAAACAACATGTGCTGACAATGTGGACCCCAGATGATGACAACCAGAATTCAAGCTAAAAATGTACTTTTTTTCCCTCATAGTTTGGCTCCTACTGTTTCCCATTCATCATTCACATAGAATAATTCCTAAGATTTACAGTTACCTCCTAGAATCTGGACTGTAACGTAGCATGTTGCAAAGATAATCCCAATATATTTACTCTCTAGCTAAAAGCTAAACAGTAACAGGTTAAAATAAGTTAAAATAAGGCAAAAAAAGCTGATAATTATAAAAAAAAAGTGAAACATAATTCTTAAATGTATTGAAATGCATATAAAAGAATTGTCTCAAACCACATGAGACAAAACACAACTGTTGTACCTTCTGGGTTTTTTATCTCAATGTCAGGTGCTGGACCGCTGAGAGCCACTGTGATTTGCTTCAGGCTGGGGTCAAAGGGCATCTGCCAAGTGTTGCTGACCCCGTTGGAGTGATCAGTGGACAGCAGGTGGACCTTGGATGACTGCACGGCCTCCTCCACCCATTTAAGGACCTACGGCAATTCAAAGTAAAAGAACTGTAAGTGGGTATTTGCCTCCACAGCTGCACACAAGGTCAACCACTCAACATGTGCAAAAAGTTAATCAGGAAGTGTCTGACATTCCACCCGTGTCCTGCCCCTTTAATTCCCCCATGTCCCACCGCTACTGTGTGAGTCCGACTCAGATGTCCGACTCACACAGCACGTGTACAACCGAGGGAAGCAGACACGTTTAAGACAAAGATACATGAAATTAAAAATGTCTGATGACGTTCTCACCTCGTTGACCTGTTTCTTGTCCAAATGGAAGACTTGCCCCGAGCTAGTGGAGGCAATCTCCTCATAAACCTTGTAGCCGACGTGAGTCCTATCATCACAGTCCCCAGTCAACACAAACACGACCTACGAAGATACAGAATTCCACAAATACTTTAGACGATGATAGCCTTTAAATGCTAACGTAAACCACAATAGGGTTCGTTTTGTTTTTTTAAATGTTGTACTTGTGATTGCTTCTGCTGAATGAGCTGCAAGACTTCCTGCGTCAGTCTGTAGTCTTTAGAGCGGGCGTCAGTGAAGACGTAAATGTAGGAGCCTGGCAAGGAAATTTCCAATGCGATCTTGATGGCTCCAACACTCATCTCTGGACAGTCGCCACCTCCCTGAAAAAGAAGGATATCATAAGCATAGAGTGTGACAATAATGTCAAAAATAAATGTTATGAGTGTTAATGAGTTGTTACACTATTTTCGTTAGTTTCAAAATAAATAGAAATGTTCAAAACAGCTAAATGTTGACCATTAATTAATTACATCATTAAAAGATGAAGCAAAAACGTGTCTAACCATGCCCAAGGTCACGGTTACTGTCTTACAAAATGTCTCTCGTCTACATTTCCCCACCTGGTGAAGTCAAAAGGAAATGTTTTCTACAGCTTCCCTGTAGACATATATCTGTCTGTCTGAGAAGTTCAACAGTAATCTTTGATGTATCACCAAAATGAGTAACATCTGGTATGGAGTGATTTGTTTTTGAAGCCAGAGGGGAAAAGGGTGAAGAGACAGAATTCCTTTATTTCCCCTGGCCAAAAAAATTCACCCCCTGCCCTTATCTGATAACCCCGTGCACTTTTGTTTAAATACAGTACTACTTCCTTAAGTACTTCTAATAAATAATATTTATACAATATGGCTGATTCAAGTTACTTTGTACAAAAAAAGTTGCATTTCTTGATGCACAGATTAGTAGAGCAAACCCTTTCAGAGGTTAATACACAGTGCAATGTGGGAATTTTCCTGGCGGTCTAGGCCTATAAAAAAGCTAAATAGAAAATGCTAATGGATAACTGAAGCCTAATTTTATAAGCTTTATCAAGGAAAGACATTCTCAGTGTTACTTTCCAACACTAGAAGTTAGACCTAGAACTTTTTTTCACTGTAGGAGGTGTCAGTCAGGAGCCTCTCCTGTCAATTAGTAGCAAAGTTAATTATATGAAGGCAAGATTTTATGGGGGAGTAAGCAATTATCAATCTCTCTATTATTAGTGTATACTTTAGCGTTGGGGAGATACTGTATGTAGGGAGGTATTTGTGAGTCTACTATTTATATTCCTTTGTGTTTTTCTTACATTTGCTGAACCAGCGGTTGAACTGGTACTGATGGGATCTGAGGAAAAACAGACTCCTTTTTTTTTTCAAAAAAAAAAAAATACAAAAAGGACAGGAAACAGGATCACACTCACACACCAGACGAGCAGCCAAGGATGCACTGACACGTGCCAAAGTCTTCCTTCAAATAACACTTGTGTTTGAATGTTACTTGTCTCTCAGTCGTACTTAGACTCGTGCCCTGGTTTTACAGTTTTACTACTTCCTTTGAGGGTACCAGTGTAGGTTTCTGGAAAATGTCATTTTATTTGCTTAGCAATTACACATAGCACTGGATTTTTTTTTTTTTGCTTTCTAATCATGGTAATGGCTTTAATTCATACTCTCGCTTTTAACAGTGTGGTTGTACCAGTATTATACAGTAATACCCTCTGTACAACCCATTTAAAAACCTAAAAATAAATGTCTGGAACTGAGGTTTGTTCCTCACGCAATGCAGACTGATAAAGTGTCAGTTCACAAACATTCCCGCTCAGACGTCAGGCAGGACCTTTTATCAAAGTCATGTGACCTTTCGTCTGCAGAAACCGCTGTTTCCTCAGTCTGTCGTGTGTCATCTCTGAACCCACCTGAACGTAGAGCTCTCTCAGCTCATACTGGAACTTCTTCGGGTCAGTTGTGATCGTTACAGGTCCAATCTCTGCAGAAACGACAGAAAGAAGTCGCAGCGATTAATATAGAAACAGGCTCAGGTCACCATCCAGGGAATAACTAGAGCATTCCTGTTTTCTTAAATTCTTCTGTTGAGCCAAATATTGTTTTTGGCAAATGCAGCCGGATGCCACGTTATGATCTGCTGACGAGAACTGCGGGAAGGGAGATATAACTGACAGGGTGGAGGAGAACACACAGGGATGTGTGACATAAAGACAGGAATACAAATGTTTGAAGGAAAAACATAAAAGCAGGACAGAAAAGGAGTCTTGGAAATTTAGACAAAAGATAAAAAATAAAAAAAGGAGGATATTTAGGACATGGAATTCACATTATTCAAAGAACAGGAGATGTGAGATTGTACAGATGTGTTCACTGACAATGTTTCTGTCCGGGAGGTGAGAGGTGGCCCGGGAGGAGGCTGGGGGATTTGTGTCTGTCAGTATATCATAGTGGGGTCGGGTGGAATGAAGTGCATTTATGATCGCTCAGGAATGTGTCTCCATGTGTCCTCAGATCACCTCCTAATGTGGTCTTCTGATTGAGGACACATTGAGGGAACAAGTATTTTGTCCAGATCACCCAGGAAATATAGCAGTGACACTGCAGGTCTGAGCGACATCGTGTGGTGACGACCTGGACACACACAGCTCTGACTCCCTGAACAATTACTGACGATGATTTTAGAGGCAGGTTCTTGAGTTCCTGAGTTGTGGATTAATGAGGATTAAGAAAGAGAGAGAGACCTGAGGAAAGTGCAGCTGGTGTCTACACTGTTCCTGCACCAACAATGTGAGAAAATTAAAGTTTGCATTATACTTGTAATTATATTTTGAGCATCTTTTGCCAGAATTATTACTACTACTACTACTACTACTACTAACAATAATAATAATAATAATAATAATAAGACATGCTCTGGTACCTCCTTGACTATGACAGCCTTGTAACAGATAACCTGAGTTCACACTGTTGAAACTTATTTCTTGGGGTAAAAAATATCCTTCATCTCAGCCGTGTACAGTTGGCTCCACACGCAAGAAAACCTGAGCTAATGCACGTTAAGCTGAATAGGAAAGTTCATTTCAGTTACCGTGCTGCTTGACGTGCCAGCGTGCTTTCGGCAATTTTGGCGTAGCACTCTCTGGGCACCGTGAAAGTGTAGCCCCTGCTCCTGCTAATGAAAATATGACCTGAGCTTTGTTCCCTTTGCCAGTTCTAGTAGTCAGTGCCATTCATCAGCTCACTCTGTTCGGTGCATTAATGAGCTGTGAGACTGCGGCCACTGCAGCTGTGAAGAGGAATGAACCTGATGAGGGGCTGCAAAAACACACACTCACACACACACTCATTCAGCAGTTATGCTCATGTAAGCAGATCGGAAAACAAGGGTTGGAGCTGATCAGAAATCAGAGTTCGAATGTTGAGATTCCACACATCTTTACTGTAGATCAGCAAAACTAATTGATTCTGATATAAGTGAAGCCATTGGCTGCTGGAAAACCCATTGAAGTACAATTTTTTTTTCCCATTTTCATAACAATAGAGACAAAGTCCCATTTTTCCAAGTGAACCAGGTTTTGGCATCCGTCTATAGTCTCAAGGTGGAGTGTAGGAACATTTGCAGTGACCAGAGAGGCTTTTTCAAAACTAACAGGGAAATGTGTCTGTCTGGCTGCACTGAACGGAACATGGCTCTCAGGCCAAACTTTTCAGAGATGGAAAAGTCGACAACGCTTTTCTTATGGGACATGTTCCCTTGCCTGTTGTTAGTATTCTTTAGACTTTTCTGTCTGTGGTTCTGCACACCACGGCCACCATCTTTTCTCCAGCACTATGGAAAACAACTGTGGACGCTTAAAACCTCGGAGATTAAATAACCTAAATAATTTAATCTCCCATTTTCACAGATTAGGACGGTACATAGAGTCAGACATAAAGATTTCCGTGTGTTTGCCTTCAGTTCCACTTTCCAGTAGCAGGTTCCCGGTTTGATTCCTAGCTTAGTCAGGTCAATTGTGATGTCAGTTTTGACTATTTCTCCCTCTCTTTCCCCTTCTCAGTACAAACACACGTTGATTACGTATATATCTTAGCCGCAACTCTAATTTACCTTAAGAATAACAGAGCAAATCATTCTTTGAGTGAGTCAGTTTCAGAAATGGATTTGTTCGAACAATAAAGTCCAGGATTATTTCCAAGGATTTATGATATTCCACTTTACTCTTGTCTCTTGAATATGAGTGTAAAAAAATGTGATAGAAGAGCAGTTTGAACAAATGAGCCGTTTAAGTGTGTATTTAAACAAGCGTGACTGGAATGCAGTGTAAAGTGACCAATTTAAACCAGTTCAGCTGTGATTGGCTCCAGCTGTTACACGCAGCTTATTCAAATAGAGGTGAATGAATGGCATTTTAATGCCAAGAATACTCTTGTTTTAATCTCCGTTCTTATGATGCCATTTAGGGAAAATGTGTTAATGCCTTTTTTGCTGATGACGAGAAACACGTGTGGCAAAGATGCTGCCAAGGCAATGAGCTCGGAGTGGGGGGGGTCAGGGGGGACGCTGCGATAAAAGAAAGAAATAAGAAGGTTGATGACCCGCACAAACAAACAATGATCTGCATCTTATCCTGTTTTTCTAAATCTGCCAGTGAGTTGATTTGTTGACCCCAGCGAGCTGAGAATAAACAATTAAAACCAAATGGCTGCGACCTCTTCTGATAGCTTTCATCTCTGCAAAAGCGTGCATCTGCAAATCACACGCCAGCAAAACACTCACAGAAGGTCAAGCGGGACAAAAGAACACACAGGGCGACTGTCCGCTCGACCAACCTCCCTTCACCTCCACAGGGAATCACTTGTGTGTTCATCATGAATCGGGAATTTTGTATTTCCTGTCAACATCAACCCCAAGGAATTCCAGGGCCAACATGTTGATAAGTCACAGCCGCTCGTGTCTTTCAACCCAACGACTTGTGACATTTGGCAGAAACGTTTGGGTCTCATGAGCAGCAACAGAACCGGCAGCAGCCTTGTCATTGCTTAACTGTGTTTTTAAACTAAATCCGATGAGGCAGTTTGGGAAATGTGTTTCCTTCTTCGTAGCCACATGTTTGGTCCACAACAATGTTGGCCACTGGGAACGTTACATACAGCAGTGAAAGAAGAAGAAGGGTTTCACATTTGAAACATTTGGGTTTTTTTTTTTATCTCCAGAGGCAAAGATGTGACTCACTCCATATCACTGTGGTTATCAAAATAATAATGAACCAAGTCTAAAGCGAACCATGTACCGTGTCATTCCAGACTGAGATGATCATATCAAACCTCAGACTACTCACTGTGGGACAGAAGTACATCACTGGCTTCAGAAGCTTCTCCAGATTCCTTCAGTTAAATGGGAACATTTAGGCTAGCTCTGACTTCATAAGGCTGGTGGGGTTTATTTCTCACAGCAGATCAGAAGATGAAAGCTTTTATGCCTGGTAGTAACCAACGGTCGTTTTGTATGCAGTTTTGCACGTTCTCCTGTGTTTGTTCGGGACTCTGCCTTCCTCCAAACATGCAGGATTAGGTCAATTGTTCCCATTAAATTGAATTGATCATAGGTTTGGGTGTGAGTTTGATTAAAAACCTCGCCCTCGCCTGATGACCTGCTGGCATTGGATCCAGCTCTACCTGCGACCCTAAAAAGGAATGAGCTGTAGATGATCAATGATTAATCCCATACTCTTCTACTGGGTCTCAGTGCATAAACTTTTCTCAATTTGTAGGTTATGAGCACATGTATCTGGACATCGGGAATAACTGATAGCTGGATTGTCTAATCATGCACATCATGCACAATGCAATGATCCTATTCTTGTTTCTTTTCATCCAGTCGACCATTTCTAACATCAAACTACTTGCGTTGTTTAATATATGTCACGAAGCCTCCTGGGGGTGGGGGGGGGTCATGGGGGGAGCCGGGTTCTTCAGCTGCCCCTGTTCAACAGGTTACACACAAATGAAGCTGTTACAGCACTTAACAGCAACAGGCGCTGTAAACACGCTGTGTTTTCTGCTGACACAGGGTAAGTCCTGCCAGACAGTGTGCGGCTGTCACTGTGACCGTCGGCTCAGGGGCATAATTCACTTAATCAGCTGCCCCTGAGAAAACACATGTAAAAGTGCAGACAAGTGAAACTGCTGCAGCAGAGAAACAGTGTCTGTGGTGGAAGTTTCAAACTCATCCACAGTCTTGACATTAAAACAACAACCACAGCATACGTGCTACACGTACTAAACATCAAGTCCAGTAGATTTACCACCAACCTCTCTTGACTTTCTTTGTAGTTCTCTTTAACCACAACTTGTCGTCAGATTCATTCATTTTTTTCTCTACTTCATTGATTAGAGATGCTTAGGTTTCCTCTTTGCCGGCCTCTTGCACGTGACTTAACTTTTCTCTGGCCCGCTGGATTTGGACCCAAGTGGCGAAATTAGCCTAAAGGTTTTTTACAAACAGGAAATTACAACCTCGTGTTTTACCAAGTTAATGTTTTCACCCTTTAGAAGACTGGGCAGCAAGAGAAGGAGGTGGAAGAGGTACTGCAGGTCTTCCTTCAGTTGTTTTAGCATTAATGTAAACAATTCATTTGAAATGCTAGGCAACAATTCAAATTTTTTATCGTAATTATTTGCACGATTATGGCACCTTGGATTTCTTGTTGTAAGGTAAACCAAAAAATATGAAAAGCATCAATCTGGAGTGTACGTAGAAAATGAATCAAAGTCGTTTGTTTTGACAGCAGTGAAGTTAAAGATGATTTTCACATGCTCTACACTCTGCTTTGATATTATTGGTTACTGTAATGCATCCAATATTGCGGTACTTTTAGGGCCGCGTGGTCTGTCAGTGTGTACTGTGTACTGCTGTGTCAGTAACTGTGACTCACGCTTTTCCTTCTACAACTAAGAGCTCACGTGACGTATGACGTGAAA